TAGGCTAAGGCACATATATACTAAACAAGGGCAGAAAGACCGATTGGGTCGATAGCCTTTTTCTGTAGGAAATAAAGATTATTTATATATATATATATGAAACGTTGAAATTAAAAATTTATGATGTACGTAGGTACTTATTTTTTGAAAATAGGACATTATGATTACACAATTCATATACGTATGCTCTATATTTGACTAACTAGCGACTAAAGTGAGGTTGGAAGAAGGCTAAGTCATGCTTAAGTACTCGAGAACTAGTCCTTAAATTTAAGATTTTCAAAGACGAACTTAAGATCGTGTCATCGGTTGGTGCAATCCATTTTTGCAGTTAGGCTCGAACTTAACGCTAAGCATAACCTTAAGTCTTTCTTAAATGTTTGGTGCAAGTGAGCATAAGTGGGGCAAGTGAAATTGCAATTTTATAAATGAAACTTTTCTAAACATCGACAATTAATTTTAGGAACAATTTTTTAATATCGTTAAAATTTCATGTTTGGATACCAACTGATTCTTAAAGAATTTGACCCTTTAGAAATGAAATTTTCCATTTATACCGTTTTTTTAAATATGACAGTCAATTTGTAGGAACACGTTGTGTAGCAAACCGCATTTTATATGCCGATTTGAAATGTAAATTTCCATATTTCAATTATTTGCCTTCGTATAAAAACAACTGTGATTGTATAACTGAAATGTGTACTTTTATAAACTCTTCGACTCTTTTCTAGAAAATTATGAGCAAACCTATCAAGAGGTCCACTTTATAAACGGTTTTCCGGATGTTTCTTTTGAAATCGTTACAACTGTTAAGTGAAATTGCAATTTTATAAGTAAAATGTGTAAAATGTGGCAATTTTTGAACCTATGGAGAACTGGTTTTTATGTGCTATGATTTAAACGTTAAAGTTGGCAGATTTGGTTCTTTATCAATGAAACTAGGTCTTTTATAATGCACGGTTTTATAAACTATGATAATCTATGTGGGAGGCAAATGATATGCTAATGAATCAAGCACAACATTTCTTATGCAAATTTCGATGCAAATGCAAAAAAAACGACTCTGTTTAAAAACATATGAAATTGTATAAGTAAAATATGTATTCTGCTGAAAATAAACAGTCGATTTAAGAGAGAATTAGCAAAAAGTGCACTTTATAAACGGGTTTTTAATTTGAATTTCGAGATTATTGCAACTGCGCAAGTGAAATTGCAATTTTATGCGTAAAACGTGCACTTTTTTAAACTTGAACGATAAATTTCAGAGACACACCTTTTGGGCTTACAAAAAGTATTCTTTAATTTGCTTGCTTTAAGTATAGATTATTAAGCTTTACCATTTGGAAGTGAAATAGTAACTTAATAATTGAAATAACTCGTTTTATAAACCACGATAATCTCCGTAAAAGACAAATTTCGAGGTTTTGAAAACATTACAGCAGTTTATATGCACATTTCAAATATGAACCTGAAATTTTGTCACTGCCTAACAAACACATATGCGATTGTATAACTGAAAAACGCAATTCTCAAGAGGCAATCAATAGATCTAAGTGAAAAATTTTGAACGAATCTAGCATACATTGAATTTTATATACGGTTTTTTATATCGAAGAATCGGTTATATCGAAGCTTTTTCAACAATTTTTCATTTTGTTAACATTTTATGTTTTAGATACTAACTGATACTTGAAGAATTTGACCGATTAGAAATTAAATTTTCAATTTGTACCGTTTTTTTTAATATGACAGTCAATTTGTAGGAACACGTTGTGCAGCAACTGGAGTTTATATGCCGATTTTAAATATTTGCCTAATAACTCTTCGATTCATTTTATAGAAAATTCTGAGCAAACCTATCAAGAGGTCCACTTTATAAACGGTTTCCTGATGTGTCTTTTGAAATCATTACAAGTGTAGAAGTGAAATTGCAATTTTATAAGTAAAATATGTACTTTCCCACACCGGAACGATGAATTTCGTGGCAAATTTTCTACCTATGCAAAACTGGTTTTTATGTTTGATGACTTAAAAGTTAAAGTTGGAAGATCTGGCGCTTTACAATGAAATTTGCTCTTTTACAGTCCAAACGCACGGTTTTATAAACTATGATAATCAATGTGAAAGCAATTTATAAGCTTCTGAATTAAGCACAACATTTCTTATGCAAATTTGAATCCTCGACTGTTATGACAAAAATATCTAGATTGTATAAGTAAAATATGTATTCTACTGACAATAAACAGTCGATTTAAGGTGTAAAGCAGCAAAAGATGTTCTTTATAAACGGCTTTATGATTTGAATTTCCAGATTATTGCAACTGTGCAAGTGAAATTGCAATTTTATGCGTGAAATGTGCACTTTTTTAAACTTGAACGATAACAGAGACACACCTTTTGGGCTTATAAAAAGTAATGTTTAATTTGTTTGTTTTCAGTATCAATTGTAAGGCTTTACCTGTGAAATGGCCAATTTACAATTGAAATAACTCGTTTCGTAAACCACGATAATCTATGTAAAAGACAAATTTCGAGGTCTGAAAAAAATACAACATTTTATATGCACACTTCAAATATAAACTTGAAATATTTGTCACTGCTTAACACATCTGCGATTGTATAAGTAAAAAACGCAATTTTCTAAAGGCAATCAATAGATCTAAGCGAGAAATTCTGAACGAATCTAGCAAACTGAATTTTATATACGGTTTTATAAATGAAATTATTTATAATAGAAAGTAGTAGTAGTATTTTTGCGTCACTGCAACAGAAATTTCCCAACCAATTTTAAAATATGTACGGCAAATAACATTGTTGTTCATATATTTCAATTATTAAACTTTTCGAGCCAGTTACCTGATTTATAACTGAAAGTTTCACTTTTCCAAGTTACAACATTTAATTCACCATGTGAACGTTAAAAATTGCAATTTTATATTTGAATGCATGTACGGCCAATTCTTTTAATCTAAACCAAATCGAAAAACTTTCAGTTTTTGTATTTCTTTTCCGAGTAACTTTTGAAATTTTGCAAAAAATGTATTGGATGAAACGGACGATCCCCAACTGAAAAATTAAACACAGAGTTTACGAGTTAATTATCAGAGATTTGAGATCAGCAGAGGGTCAAGAAATACTTGATTTTCCAGTGATAATCTTGAAATACCCTCCTGCACTTTCCTTGCGAAATTTTGTATAAAACTTTATAACTAAAATTGAAAGTTGCAAAATGATGAAATTCTTAATTACTGTACGATACAGAGAGTAAAGTGGATTTTTTTATGCAAAACTGCAGGTTTGAAAAAATAATTACCATTATTTACCAACCAAGTTCTGGATTCTGGGACTTCAAAATTATTAAAATTAAAATATTATCAAAACCAGTCTTTATACGAATTTAATACACATCGAAAACAAATTGTTTTAAATTTACAAATCGCCAAATCAATACAAGGTGAGTTTGAAGATTTGCAGAAACCAGCACATCATCTGGAACATGCAGCAACCCGGAAACCTGCATTGGGGGCTTTTCCAGACTGTTTGCCCAAATCCACAGCTTATTGGCAGATAAACCCGACTCGGTCCTGCTTAACGGCGGCGACAATTTCCAGGGAACTCTGTACTATTCCCTTGGAAAATGGAACATCACTCAGGAGTTTCTGAACAAACTGCCCTTTGACGCCACCGTAATGCCATCAGTTGCAAGCTTGTGCCTTTGAAACATCGAAATTCTTGCAGGTGCTGGGAAACCATGAGTTTGATGATGGCATAGATGGAGTTGTTCCGTTCATCAAGAACCTGAAGAGTCCAGTGGTTTGTGCCAATATCAACGACGATGAAGAACTGGATATTAAAGGAACGTACCAGAAAAGCGTGGTGATTGAGAGAAACGGCCGGAAGATTGGGATCATCGGAGTGATTTACGCAAAAACAAACGTACGTGGGTAGTTCTAACTGGGTGGAAATTTGCTGCGCAAATACGCAAATGTTTCCAGACCATCTCCAGTACGGGAAACTTGGTGTTTTATCCAGAATCAGCCAGTGTTAATGCTGAAGCCGAGCGTCTGGTGCGAGAAGAAGGAGTGTTCACCAACATTGTTCTCTCCCATGTTGGGTACGGCAATGATCAGGAAATAGCTGCAAACGCCAGTGAGAAAATTGGTCTCATTGTGGGCGCTCACTCACACACCTTCTTGTACACCGGAGGTAACACTTTAATTCCTTCACTTCTGCCCTGGTGCTTTAGCTTCAAAGCCACAAGTGTTCTGATGGGATGAATCGATTTCCAGACGACCCTCCAGGGCCAGACACACCAGAAGGTACCTATCCTACTATAGTGCAAAGTAGAACTGGGAGGAACGTTCTTGTGGTGCAAGCCTCAGCTTACACCAAATACCTGGGGAATATCACCATCTTCTACGATAGCGACGGTGAAGTAGCTGACTACTCGGGATCGCCGATTTTCCTGGAAACTGGCCTGCCTAAAGGTAAAGCTGTGATCTGTGAGTAGAAGCAGGAAAAGTTATATGAGCAAATGTTTGTAGACGAAACGATTGACGCCGCCTTGGAGCCCTGGAACGAAATTGTTGAAGCTGAGGGATCGGCTGTGATCGGGTCCTCTTTGGTGAAACTGTCCAAAACGGGCTGCTATTACAGCGAGTGCAACTTGGGCAACTTTGTAACTGATGCCTATGTCTTCGCGGTGAGTTGCTTCTTCAAGTAAAGAGGTGTTTTTCTCAATGTTTTTCAGTACTCTCAAAACATTGTCGATGGGGCCTGGACCAGGGCGCCCATAGCCATTATCAATGCTGGAGGGTTGAGAACCGACGTGGAAATTGGCAGTAAGTTTCAGTTTTTATTGGTTTGTTGTTCGCTTCCTTCATGTGTCTTCACCGCACAACGTTGCCCAAATGGTTCCGGTTGCCTGATTTTACCGATCTTTCCAGATATTACCTACGGCGACATGCTAACAGCGCAACCGTTCTCCAACACCGTGGACTTTGGGCGAATAGAAGGCAGATATTTGAAGGAGGCGCTGGAACAGGCGGCTGGATCCTACAGCAATGCCCGAATTACCTCCGACCTGAAACTCCTTCAAGTGTCTGGTAAGATCCCCAACCCCCACATGATGGCATAATCAGCTCGTCACCTCTGCAGGAATTCACGTGGTTTACAACGTGTCCAGACCTGAAGGAGACCGAGTGGTTGATGTGAAAATCCGCTGCCAGCAGTGCGATGTACCAGACTATGATGAGCTGGACTTGGAGGCAACCTACAGTATTGCAGTGCCTTCTTTCCTGGTTGGAGGTAATCTCCAGCCACAACCTCCAAGTGAGCGCTGCTCCAAAGCTTTTTTGCAGGCGGTGACGCTTTCACAGCCATATCGGAGAACATTGAAAATGTCGTAACTGGACAAACGGACATGGACATTTTCAGGCTCTACTTGCAGTCCCGATCGCCAGCTTTTGCTGAAATTGAGGGCCGCATTACGGTGCTTGGGGACGAAGAAATCGAAACCAAGGGCTTTGATACTTGAACAACTAGTTAATATTCCCATTCAGTTATAGCCTAGGCAAACAAGCGGTGTGGAAAATAAACAATCATTTATTCAATTTTTTTCTGGACATTGCCAATGTGTGCAAATTTTGGCTGGGCATTTCCACCAGAAGCGTCAGCACCGTTGAAAGCCCCACAATGACCACAATCTCCTGCAAAGGAAACTGGAAAACCTACATTAGACCGGCAAAGTTCACTAGGCCCTCGCTTCCCACTAACCACTAGATGGCTGTGAAACTCCCCGGCATGCCTAGTTGACCCAACATTATAAAAAAACACTGGAAACTGGATCAGGTAGACGCCATAGGAAATCTTGGTGAATATTTGAAAGTATTTCCACGTTAACAGCGGGCCAAAGCAGCCTGAAATTGTCCAATCAAAGCAACACAGCGGCCACACTCAAATCCCCCTTACTTCCAAATCCACACTCTGTGGAGTAGATGATCCAGGCAATGGCAATTCCCCAGGTGTAAGGGTAAAACGTGCTGTACAGGGCGCTTTCCAAACTGTGGTATTGGTAGCCTTTAACGCACATGAAACTGGGCCCGAACCAGGTGATCAGGCCCACTGTGTACATCAACCCCCAAACCAAGTGCAGCTTTTTCTAAAAATCACTTTAGGTACATAAAAACACAAACAGTAAATGGCTGATTACCCTGGAGAACGTCTTGGGAGGACGTCGAAGCAACCAGGCCAATAACACGCCCAGAAAGTAGATCGAGGCTCGATGGGTCGGCAGAATATAGGAGAGATCGGCTGTGTTGAACATTCTAGATATTCTATAAAATGAACAGTGAAAGCAACTTTCCAGTTGCAGGGTGATTTACATGTTCGGTGGGCCACTACTGCCTTGGAAAGCCAATTGAGTGACCCGGTTGCCGAATTTATGACTCAGTTTTTTGTAATAATTATTTAAAACGTTGCGAGCTACAATAGTTTAAAAACTTACGGGATTCCGAAATGGACCACATGACTCAACTGATAACTAAATGTATAGTAAAACCGCAAAATGGAGGAAATGGCCGATAGGCCTCCAATCAGCCACAGGCCAAGACGCTGATTTCTCCATAGGGCATATATGAACACGGGGGAGACTAGAAAGAGCTGCATGTCGATTCCAACCTGATGCGTGTGGGTCAAGCACTGAAACACTAGCATTAATCTACGCTCCTGGCAGCAGGGAATGCTTCAGGAACAGTTTTCCCGGAGAAAAGGGCGGCAACATTGCGCGGAATAGAAAAATACTTAGTACCCACCATGCGCTCGAATCCAAAATAATTGTGTACAAACAGCAAGTTCCGCCACATGTATTGCTTGCATAATTCCGCATGATGGTCCACGACCATCGGCCAAAGAGGTCCCGAGCCCAAATCCGGCAGAATATACGTACAGAAAAGGATCACTGTTAATAAGCCTGGGACAATTCTGCAAATGCCCCCCAATTAAATTCACAGTCAATGGCCAGAGTGGCTCAGCCACCTGACGAGTCTGCTGTAGAGCTTGGCCTTGTAACGTATCACTCCAGACTTTTCCAGCTCCCCAAACAGCGACTTCGCATTCAGCAGTCCGCTCACTAATAGAAAGCAATCGGTGTAGATGATGGCGTTCCTGCCTATAACTGACCAACGCATTGCTTGACTCTGAGAAGCAACAAAATGTATAGTCCGTGTTTTCTTCACTAGTTGAAGGCTTTGAAAGTTACCTCAGCCATCCATGCTTTGTTGATGTAGGGATTATACAGCAAGGCCATGGTTTTGTGAGCCATAATCAAGGCCAAAGCTGAAAAGAACCGCACGCCATGCACCGACTTGTACTCGTTCCTGTTTGCGGGCCTTTCAGTTAATTGACGAAAGTTCTCCTGGAAGTCGAAGCACTTGAGGAACTGTAGAGCTTTTGCTGGAACAACAAAAGAACATTCCCAGCTCCTCCTTCAGGCTCCCATAAAAACCCACCATGCTTTTGCAGAAAAATCGCATGCTTCTTCCCCAATGCTGTGCCGATCAGAGCTGCTATTGCCAGAGAAACAAAGTACGCCCTAGCCAAGTAATCCCCAAATGTCCATGTCCTGGGGCTCAAGCCCCATGTCTGGCACATGCCAGGTTTCACTTTCGTCCTCACGCCAATTTTCACCTCCAAAGCATTCTCCAGGTCCTCAACTTTACAGCTACGTGGTATGCAAAAGCCCCATCGAACAAAGGAGAAACCTGGAACGCGATGACTTGGCTGCAAGATGAAGACCGCATGAAATTCCTGTAATGGTCAACTTGCCCACATACATCGTCGAAGGATTCCGTGATGCTGAAGTGCGAATGGATGAGGTCTTTGTATTGATGTAATGGTTTCTTCCATAGAGGCTCTAAATCTATTAGAGCTAGACAGTATTGGGCTCTGGGTACTTGAAGGCATTCTTCAAAGTCTCCAAATTGGTTGATGTTGCCGCTGAGGAGGCCTGATGGTGGTTTGGCTGAGGCATCAAATACTTAAAAAACATTGTCATTTGAAAAAGCTTTAATGCATTGGATGTAGAGCTGAGGATTATTAAGAAACTGAAAACTACAAAGCAGGTGTAGGTGGTTATGGTGATCACCTGAACAAATGTAGAAGAATACGAATTAGACGCAGAATATCTTATTAGAAAGGGAATACTGAACACCAGCTTTTCATACAACATTTGCTTAACTTTGAGGATTCTTTTACAGAGCAAAGTTCTGCTCTTGCTCTGCTCTGATTTTGTTAATTTGGGATTCTCTGAAGAAACCTCAGTAGAAATATTTCGGACTTCGAGATGGAATGCTCACGCTTGTACAAAATTTTGGAATTACATTTTTGAAATTGCCAGCGTTTCTTGGTCAACAAAACAACCTTTTATAGATTCAAGCCGTTGAAGAATACGGGTCTAGATTTGCTTTGCTCTGAAAAAAAAGGAAGAAAAATGTGTATGAATTTCCCCCATTTCTTGTTCAGTTTCTCGTTTTCTTCAAGATATCAAATTTTAGTGAGACAATGTTAAGCAAGTTATCGCTTAACCTCATCTTATATAATTTCGTAAAACTTCTTTGGAAAAAGGGCAATTCTCTATTGATTAATAAGCGCTATAAATTTCAGTTTTGCTCCGTCAAATTTTGAAGAAAACTGACTGGATTTGTTGAGTTTCTAGTGAAAACTTTCTGAATTTGTTAAAGCTCAAGTTTTTGTACAATGTTTGGCAAAATATTGCGCCTTATTATCTTGCAAACTTTCTACCATTTACTGGCAAAGTGTGCCTTTGAAGGTTACAGAACATTTTTGCTTTTTTTTTTCAGAAATGTCAAGATTTTGCCTAAATTGAGACAAAAAGATTTTGCGGATCAGAGCACTTTTCTATATAAAACATCATTTGATGCATATTTACAGCTTTTCCACAAAATGTCAAAATTCAAAATATATACTGGTCTTGAGAACCGGTCTTATTCTATGGCTCAGATTTCGAGAACCGTTTAAAATGGAAACTTTTTGTGTGAACCATCAGTTTAGGAATGCAAAAGTTTCTTTCAAGAACGTTATTTTCGGGCGAAACCAAGTATATGAGAGTAATAAGTTCTAAACCGGTAATGAAGCAAGAGACTAACACATCTCCAACTATGATCTTATTGAAGAAGTTTCTCACTTTGGCTAGAAGAAAATGATTTGCACGAAAACAACGCATCAGAAAACACGAATCGAAATCATCGAAATTCGCCACAAAGAAAAGGCAAGAAGTTAGACTCTAAAACACGAGGTAACTTACAGTGTTCTGAAGAAAATTAAAAATATCCAGAGAATCAAAGGCAAATTTGAAAATTGCGGTATTTTCGCAAATTTAAAATATCGAAAAATTTTAGAGGCTCAATTTGGATTCATCAAATTTTCGCAGAACTGACTGGATTTCTTGAGTGTCTTTTGGAAACTTGCCGAATTTTTAACTGAAAAGTTTTTCCTTACAGTTTTGCGTCTTTCTGCTAGAGTTTAAGCGAGATTTTAACGAAATAATGTGACTTTTTTCTGCTAACTTTTTCACGGCTACTGAACAATTTGAAGGTTTCAGAACATTTTAGCTGAAGATTTTGCCAAATTTGAGACAAAACAGTTTGTTATGAAAAACACGATTTTAGGAAAGTTTCTAGATTGCCCGCAAAATGCGAAAATTCTAAATGAAAGCAGAACTTTAAAACCTCCCCTAGTCTTCGTTGTTAAAGCAGGATTTTGAGAACCGCTTTTAGTCTGTGGCTGATATTTTGTGGACTGGTAGAGCTCTAAAGTTGTCATTGTCGTTGCATGATAGAGCCTTAAAATGCTGACCTTTTTGCACTAAACATAAATTTAGAAATGTTTCGAGTTCCAACTCAAATTGAAAAATTCAAAATTTTTGGAAAATTTTAAAACCGCCCTTAGTCTTTGGATCATATTTAGATAATCGGTGGAGCTGCGAAGATCTAGTTGTTAACGCTGAATAGAGCCTTAAAATGCTCGTTTATTTCTATGTAGCATAATTTTAGTAATGTTTAGAATGCTTTCGAAAAATGTAAAAAATCAAAATTGATGCGGATATTAAGAGCCACTCTTTAAAGAAAATCAAAGGCATTGAAACATCAGCGATTATTTACTCCTTACAAACATAAATTTAAAATGTCCAGAGAAGTTGGGGTAAATTTGAAAATCTTGCCTGGAAACGCAATCAATTGGAGCGAAGGACTTATTTTTGCGGCAATTCGGTTAAAAAATATATATTTGTTTCATCATTTGGGCGCTCTGATTTCAACATTCGACTTTGTTAAATAAAGCTGTTACCATAAAACCTGATTTTCCTATCAATCTTCTGCAGAACTTTTTTTATAATTGCTATCTCCATTCACTGAACTTACTGGAGAAGAATTGGTATATATGCAGAGAAGCTAAGGCAAATTTCAAAAGCGCAGTTTTTTTCTCAAATTTGGAAACTTCGAAAAACTTCAGGGTTTCAGTTTAACTTCATAAAAATTTCGCAAAACCGACTGGATTTCTTGAGTTTCGATTGGAAACTTGCCGAATTTTTTAACTGTACAGTTTTTCCTTGCAGTTTTGTGTTTTAGAGTTGAAGCGGGATTTTAACGAAATAATGTGACTTTTTTCTGCTAACTTTTTAACGGCTGCTGAACAATTTGAAGGTATCAGAACATTCTAGCTTATTCGTCATTAATTTGATGATTTTGCCAAATTTGAGGCAAAACAGTTTTTTATGAAAAACATGATTTTAGCAAAGTCCCTAGTTTTCCCGCAAAATGCGAAAATGCTAAATTAATGCAAAACTTCAAAACCTCCTCTAGACTTCGGATCGTATTCAGAGAACCAGTTTAGATGCAAAGCTCTAGTTGACATTGCTAGATAGAGTCTTAAACGGTGCATTTTTTCATGTAAAACATCATTTGAGGAAAGTCTCTTGTTTTGACGCAAAATTGGAAAATTTCATGTTAAAGCATGTTTTTGAGAACCGCATTTAGCCTGTGGCTGATATTTTGCGAACTAGTAGAGCTCTAAAGTTGTCATTGTCGTGGCAGGATAGAGCCTTAAAATGCTCACTTTTTGCACTAAACATAAATTTAGAAATGTTTCGAGTTCCAAAATGCAAAATTTCAAAATTTTTGGAAAATTTTAAAACCGCCCTTAGTCTTTGGATCATATTTAGATAATCGGTGGAGCTGCGAAGATCTAGTTGTCATCGCGGGATAGAGCTTTAAAATGCTCGTTTTTCTATATATTTTTTCTATATAGCATCATTTTAGATACGTTTACATTTCTTTCGGAAAATGCAAAAATCCAAAATTGTTGCGGGTCTTAAGAGCCGCTCTTTAAAGAAAATCAAAGACACTGAAACACGAGCGATTAGTTACTCCTTACAGAAAGAAATTTAAAATTTCCAGAGAAGTTGGAGTAAATTTGAAAATATTGCCTGAAGATATGATGCTTGGAGCAAAGGACTTCTCATTACGGCTATTTGATGTTAAAAAATATATATTTTTCCGTCATTTAGGCGCCTTTTAAAGAACAGCCCTGATTTCAACATTCGACTTCGTTCAATAAAGTTGTTACCATAAAACCAGATTTTCCTATCGAACTTCTGCAGAAACATTTTGCCAATTGCTATCTCCATTCACTGCACTTATTGAAGAAGATTTGGTAAGTTTGCTAGAAGAACTTTTGAACTTTTGCTAGAAGAAAAAGATTTGCACGAAAGCAACGCAACAGAAAAAACGATGCGGAATAATCGAGTTTCGCCACAAAGGAAAGGCAAGAATGTTAGACACTAAACCACTAGGTTTTAGATACAGTGTTCTGAAGAAAATTAAAAATATCCGGAGACGCTGAGGCAAATTTGAAAATTGCAGTTTTTTCGCAAATTTCAGGGTTTCAGTTTGGCTCCATCAATCTTTCGCAAAACCGACTGGATTTCTTGAGTTTTGGTTGGAAACTTGCCGAATTTTTTAACTATAAAGTTGTTCCTTACAGTTTTGTGTCTTTCTGATAGAGTAGAAGCGGGATTTTAACGAAATAATGTGACTTTTTCTGCTAACTTTTTAACGGCTACTGAACAATTTGAAGGTTTCAGAACATTTTAGCTTATTTGTCATGAATTTGAAGATTTTGCCAAATTTGAGACAAAAGAGTTTGTTATAAAAAAACATGCCTTTAGAAAAGTAACTAGTTTGCCCGCAAAATGCGAAAATTCTACATTAATGCAGAACTTTAAAACCTCCCCTACTCTTCAGCTGATATATAGAGAACCAGTTTAGATGCAAACCTCTAGTTGACATAACTAGATAGAGCGTTAAACTGTGAATGTTTTCATGTAAAACATTATTTGACGATTTTCTCTAGTTTTGACGCAAAATACGAAAATTTCCAGTTAAAGCAGGTTTTTGAGAACCGCTTTTAATCTGTGGCTGATATTTTGCGAACTGGTAGAGCTCTAAAGTTGTCATTGTCGTTGCAGGATAGATCCTTAAAATGCTCACTTTTTCGCACTAAACATAAATTTAGAAGTGTTTTGAGTCCCCACGCAAAATGCTAAATTTCAAAATTTTTGCGAAATTTTAAAACCGCCCTTAGACTTTGGATCATATTAAGATAATCGGTGGAGCTGCGAAGATCTAGTTGTTATACCGGCGTAGAGCTTTAAAATGCTCGTTTTTTCTATATAACATCATTTTAGATACGTTTATAATTCTTTCGGAAAATGCAAAAATCCAAAATTGTAGCGGATCTTAAAAGCCGCTCTTTAACGAAAATCAAAGACACTGAAACACGAGCGCTTAGTCACTGCTAACAGAAAGAAATTTAAAATGTCCAGAGAAGTTGGGGTTAAATTGAAAATCTTGCCTGAAAACAATTGGAGCAAAGGATTTCTTCTTGCGGCCATTCGTTTGAAAAATGTATATATTTTTCATCATTTGGGCCCTTTTCAAAGGCCAGCTCTCATTCCAACATTCGACTTCGTTAAATAAAGCTGTTACCATAAAACCTGATTTTCGTATCGATTAATCTGCAGAAAATTTGTGCCAATTGCTATCTCTACTCGCTGGTCTCCACCTTGTCCTTTTGCGAATAACTTTTTATAAGCTTGCACTTTCTAGAAGAAGCCTTATTTCCCAATAAGGAACAAACAGCACATTCAAAATGAAAGTTCTGGAATATCCGAAAAGGTAACGTAGAGTCGATTGAATAATCCTTAAATTCGGTATGAAGAGAACTTGAAAAAGTTGAAATTGATTTGAGCGAAAATAAGACGCAACATTGGCGGAAATGTTTTGTAAGCAAAACCCCAACTTTCACTTAATAAATGTTATTTTCTTTAGTTTTCCCGCAAAACCTACTCACACTTTAAAGAATCCAGCTCATTTCGAAACGCCCCATCCCAGAACCTTTGGTAGTCTCTTTGGCAGGCACTGGAAATACTGCTAACATTCCAAAACAGATCCACCGGAAACTGTTTCCATATTTTCAACAGATGCAACTCCTCCACATTTCTTTGACTCGCATTTTCCACCCTGTTTGCATCGATTGTGCAAAATTCCTTTGCGGAAACTGTAACGCGAAATCGTAGGTACAACATTGACCTTATAATTCGGTTCGGTACCATTCGCTTGCGACACTCCCTTCACTTACCCATGCCAGTGCTGTTTGCACCATAATTCGACAATTTCAAACAATCACTGAGACCGATTAGGAAAAATACAACACCGAAATAATACATTTTTCAATTTTTCACATTTCTAATGGTCTTGCGACCGCCCGAGTTCTACTACCAATCAATCGCAAATTGCTATAAAAGCGGTACCACTGACATTGCAAAGAATTGGCCAATATGTAGATTGTACATGCAACAAGGTGGCTTATTTATTTATTTTTACTTATTAATGTGTACAGGGGTGGCACGTTAATTTTGAGCGCAAAGAAATATGGGAGAACCAACGGAAATTAAGGGTCGAAAGCCGAAAAGCACGCAAGAACATTTTAGTGGGAGATACAGGAGGCAGGGAAAAAGGTTTCAATGAGTAAACATCCTGAGCGCCGAAGACGCAGATAATAGACATGAGTGCTTACTTAATAAAAAAAACACCCTGTATATTTACTATAAGGATAGACTGTTGTTCTTTGCGAACACCATAAAGTGAAACGTGAGTAAAATGTTCAAATGGTGCAGGGTTTACATCAGATTTATGAAAACTATTCAAAACTAGTATGAATTTATAAATGCAGAAATACTTAGCTGCTTGGCATGCATAATTCAGATTCCGTTCTCGGAAAAAATCGAAACAAAGAGGTTTAAATAAGGATGAACCGAGAGAAAGCAATGTTGCTTAATGTTCCCTTGAATTAAACATTGAAATATGCAAAAATTTGGCAAAATACCAAACAGGTTTCTTTGCAAACAGGGTCTTTAGAAGCACGCCAGAAAGATCAAGCAGGTATACGGGGTGTTCAATTTGAAAACGGTAAAATAACGAGACACTCAGGAGAGTAAGTAGACATGTCTTCAGCCACTGACCTCAATTTGAAGAACTATTCTGATTAAAAATTGAATCCCCCTGTATATCAGCTGCTACCTATATGTAATAGGCATTAATTAAGCTTGACGGTCTAATAAAAAAGGTCATTTTGTGACAAATATGATGAATGAATATTCAACAATTTTTCAGGCCAGAATGTGAATACTCCGAAATATTCTTATGCAACTAATTGAGCCATTTTTCGTTGCAAGATGAACAACATTGACACAGTTCAAAGGTACACAAGGCAGCGCGAGTCGCGCGATTACAAAATTTGCATTAACAATTCTCACCAAAGGCAACAAAAATTTACTGGATGTTGCGCGATATTCTAAGGAAAATATGCATTTCATTTTTGTTTGAGAAGTTCTTAATATGCGTATGTAGTGCGAAGTGACTCTGTAAACATACGCGAGTAGAATAAAAGTGGAAGGCAAAAGAGTGGACAAATGGCCTCAGCAAAGCAGAGGTTTTTAACACAAAAATACACAATCTATAGGCCCAAAAATTATAAATATTATAAAAGAGGGCACAAAAATAGCTTGAAATATCAACACCATATGGCTCGGCAAAGAGAGCGTTTTCTCATCTATAGTTTAGTCTGTACACCCAGTATTTACAAAACGCAAATAAACCAAATTACTAACAAAACGCGCAAAAATTCAAATCTTTCTGAATTCTATATTGTTTCAGTCTAGTAAATGGTCTCAAAATAGAACTTCATACCCAACTGCGATCTCGCTTTCAAAAATTCGCATCTTTCGTATCGAAGCAAGTAGCTACTGGAAACATTTTTTCCGTGTTCAAACGATACCCAATTCTAAAAACGGAGACAGTTTCATTAAAATCCCTTGAAATCAGATTTTTTCTCGCCGTGTAAACATTGGTTATAAAATAGAAAGATCTTACACAACTGCGCTCTCGCTTCTAAAAATTATTAGCTTCCAAACTGAAGCAAGTAGCAATTAACAATTTTCACAATCATCAGAAAACCTTTGCCTCCAAAAATTCTGGAAGCCTCCTAAAAATCGCATTCAATGCCATATTTATCCGGCCTAATTAACATTGACCTCAAAATAGAAGGTCTTACCCAACTGAGCTCTCGCTTTCAGCATTCAAAAATTCGCATCTTCCATGCCGAGGCAAGTAGCCACTGAAAATTCTCCCTGATTAACCAATACTTGATTCTAAACATTCAGGAAGTTTCATTACAATCGCCTGTAATCCGATTTTTTTCTTCCCACGTAAACATTGGGTATAGAATAGATCTTAGTCAACTGCACTATCGCTTCCTGAAAGTTTCATAAAAATTTTATGAAATCCTGTTTTTTCCGACTTATTAAACCCTGGCCTTAAAATGAAAGCTCCTACACAACTGTGCTCTCGATTTTAAAAATTCGCATCTTCCAAACCGACGCAAGTAGCCAATGGAAGTTTTCTCCATGACTAAACAATACTTGATTCTAAACATTCGGGAAGTTCCATTAAAATCTCCTAAAATCCGATTTTTTTCTTCCCACGTAAACATTGGTTATAGATTAGATCTTATTCAAATACACTATCGCTTAAAAAAATTTGCATCATCTAAACTACGCTACGAGCCACAGAAAATTTTCGGAGTCTAGAACATGCTTGATGCTACTAACCCTGAAAGTTTTATAAAAGTCTTCGGAAATCCTGTTTTTTTTTCAACTTAGTATACATTGCCCTTAAAATAGACTTAAACTGTGCTCTCGCTTTTAAAAATTCACAGCTTCCAAACCAAATCAAATAGCAACCAGCAATTTTCACTATCAACAGAAAGCCCTTACCGGGAAAAACTGTAGAAGTTTCGTTAACATCGCGTTAAATGCTACTTTTTTTCGGCCTAATATACTTTGATCTTACAATAGAAGCTCTTACACAAGGGCGCTCGCGCTTTCAAAAATTCGCATCTTCCAAACCGAAGCAAGTAGTAAGTGGTAATTTTGACAATCTTCAGAACCCTCTCGCCTCTAAAAATTCTGGAAGTTTCTTTTTAATCGCCTTAAATTCTATATTTTTCCGGCCTAATGAACATTGACCTCCAAATAGAAGATATTATCCAACTGAGCTCTCGATTTCGAAAATTCGCATATTTCATGCTGAACCAAGTAGCCACTGGAATTTTTCACAATCTTCAGGCCACGCTTTCCTCTAAAAATGATGAAAGTTTTCTTAAAATTGCCCTGAATTCCAGATTCTTCCGGCTTAATAAACATGGATCTTAAAATAGAATCTCTTATACATTTGTGCTCTTGCTTTCAAAGATCCGCATCTTCCAAATGAAGGCAAGTAGCAAATTAATGAAGTAAAAGCTAAAATTGCCTCAAAACTTTAGACACACTTTAATTCAAAAACCCCCGCTCAACTTTGTAAATAAATGTTTGAAAGTTTACAGTTAAAAAACGTCATTATTCCGCTGAAATTGCGTTTCAAGTAGCGAAAAAGAAACAAAACTGTAAATAAACAGTTCGTCTCCAAAAAATTGGCTAATTTTGGGCTTAAAAGTGAAAAAATCCTGCAGTATTTCCACATTTTGGTAAAAGGAAACTGACACCCTCAAACTCAACCGCCATTAAACAAAATACTGTTTTTATACAAATAACATGAAATTTAACAGGATTGTAATAACACAAATAAATAAAACATATATTTTTAAGTAACTTGCTACTTAATTTCTGCGCGATAAAGTACGTTATCTCCAAAAATATAAAGAAATATATTTGAAATACCTAAAATTTCCTCACTACATTTCCATTTCAATTTTAAAAGTTTATATGTTTTTCGGCCCGAAAAACCTGCGGAAAAACAGCACACTAGTTGACCTCGCCCAAAGTGCCCCGCCTAATCGGCCTTACTAATCCGACAACATCGCTTATTGTTGTCGAGAACATGTTAGGTTAATGTGTGGTTAATTTGCATTTTTCGAAGCCAAATATTTCCATGTTAAAAGGCAAAATGCAGCTCCCCAAGGTGGAAATTAACAAGTTCGACGACAAAAAAGTGCAACAATTACTACTGGAAGAGAACAGATTTGTGATGAACTTATTCGCAATATCAGCGCTTCCTGAACGACGAGGTAAATGCCCCTAAGACAAAAAACCAGAATTTTGGTCACATGTTTTTCCATTTATTCCCTTTAGATCTGGATGCAGAAGCAGAGAATGATGAAAATCCTGCGGAAATCCCGAGTTTATCCGTAAAGAAGACCCGAGCACAGTCACTGCAAGAGCTGGAGTCTCGATTGAAAGCAATCGTCAGCAAGAAGAAGCTAAGTTATAAAGACAAATTGGCGAAAAAGGGGCTGAAGAAACGGATGAAAAAGAAGAACAGACAAGATGTGCGAAATGCCCAGTCAAAGCTGGAACGGAATGCGAAATTAGCATTGAAGCAAGAGAACGCCGAGAATGCAGAAGTGAAGGAGACAAAGCCAGTGTTCAATACCGATAATAATATCGTGTTTTCGAAGATCGACTTTGCGGATATTGGCAAGAAAAAGGTGAAAAAGCAGGAAAAAGATCCTAAGAAGCTATTAGAAAAAATGGCAGAGGAGAAAACTAAGCTGGTGGAAATGGAAAAGACGGGCGATATTAGCAAAGTGGTGCAAATCAAGGAAAAAGCTGCCTGGAAAAATGCCTTAGCCAAGGCAGAGGGACAGAAAGTCAAAGATGACCCCATTCTGCTCAAAAAGTCGGTGAAAAAGAAGGAGCAAAAAGTGAGAGCAAGCAAAAAGAAATGGGACGCTCGAATACATAACGTTGAAAAGGCAAAGAACGAAAGGCAGTCGAAACGAACTGAGAACATTGAGAAGAAAAAGAAGCAGAAGAAAGTTAAAAAGCTGAAGGCCGCCAGTAAACGAGGCAAAGTTATTCCGGGATTTTAAAAATTCAAGAACAATGTATAATACTAGCTGTAAGTACATTTTAGCTTAATTTCTGTGATTTATTTGACTTTTCTTTGAATCCGTTCCTTTTAATACAATTTTGCCAGCACATTCACTTCTATAAATGGTCCACTTAAACTACTGAAAAGGATTCATCTAAAGAAAAACTGTCCGAAAACGGAAATTAAATAATCGATAAGGCTTTTATAATATATATATTTATATGCAAATACAATTCGAATTATTGCTAAAAAGGCAGTTGATTATCATTCTAAGGAAGCTCCTAATAAGAGAAAATATGCAATTCAATAATAAGGCATTCCACTTTAGTGCTTATACTTACTTAATTGTTAGATTTAACATTAAGAGATTCGCTATAAAGTCTAGTTGCTTGACTACAACCTAATAATATTAATTATTTGAAAACTACATGGACTCCGTCAGGAAAATCGACTAAAACTACTACTTAACAACTAATTTTATCATATTGCCAAACTGGAAGATTTTAACAGTGCTTCGTAAATCTACAGTTAAAACTGTTCGTCTTAAAATTGAGTATTGACGCCTACAAAGAGATCGCAATATTAAATATTCCTTATAATTTATAAACCATCAGGGTTTTGTGCAAAACACAACTTGTATTTAAAATAGGAAATGGTCCATCCAATTTAAATTTTGTGCAAAAGCCATTCGTTTAATTGAACCAGTTGGGAAAAAGTGCATGGAGATTCGAGCCTCGACAATGGCGATTACTTAAGTACATACAAGTATGTTTTAAGTACAATCGTCCCTTTTTACGTATTGTTCTTAATGTCTATAAGTATTGCTATGAAAGATAATTCAAGAAATGTTATACGCTTAAAACAACCGAAGACAGACGTAGTAAAACACTTAGATAACGACATAAATTGTGGAGTGTTGTGAAAAGTAACACTTCCACGTATAATTAATTATAACTTTAGTTTGTACTCAAAGGAAGTTTTTTGGGAGTATTTTCAGATCAGATCCTGCTTAATTTGGTCGTAGTATAACTGGCCTTAAAAGCTATAAAATAGTAACGAAAATGCAATATTCCTTTGGAGAACTATTGTTTTCAGGTCTCATTCCAAGGCAGTTTGCAGATGGTTTCAACACGTGAATCTCTCAAATTGTGATAGAGTGTCGAAACATCTTCAATAACACTCAGAATTTCCCCACATAAAAATAAATGCATCAAAGTAAATGACTAGTACAATATCAACAATTAGTATCACAAAATGTATAGTTTTGTCGCAATGAACCACTACTAGAAATCATGGATTCATTCAACCTTATGGGTGTTTCCAGCAGTAGAAATAAACTTGCCTACCATCAGCTCCTCAGTCGGAAAATCCGAAATAACCGACACATGAAAGGCCATATTGGCCGCAGCAATAACATATTCGCACAGGGCAAACAGGCTAAATGCTGAAACAACATCGTTACTAATCAGCCTGGAGTTTTGAGGCAACAACGTACCCATTCTAAGGCAAAAGAACCGATGCTGAATGAAGAAAATCAGCAACCCAGCTGTGGAAATCAGAGACAAGACTAACAGGTTTTGCTTGTACTTTAGACCTGCTTTAATTGACTCTAGATCCTTTCTGGAATCAGCTGCCAGTTTAGTGCCCCGAATGCAGGCCACCATGTGCGACAAACTGCTCACCATAAATGTTATGAAGAGCTTTTCATGAATCGCTACAGAATACCACCAAGCGTTAAGTTGAGAGCTAAGTTCAAGCGCTTTTACTCACGATAGTTGTCTCTATTTGAAATATATGATACTCCACACAATGCCCCTGCCTCAATTAAGTTGAGCAGATATGCAGTATTTAACCAAAGTTGTGCCCTGGATTTCACCTATGAAAAGGCCGGTTATACCGTATTTTCACCCTGAAAATTGCTACTTACTTCAAGATCTGCTAAAGGGTTGATCATGCTAAGTTGATATGCATTGTACACAGCAGATATAATAACTCTTGGTCCAATGTGGAGTGCTGCACTAATGCGCCAGATATATCGCTGCGGGCTTATGCCGGTCACTGCACTTATCGATGGCACAATGTTGAAAACCTTAGAGAAAGCCATTTAAGCAATTTTTCCACAACTTATGAATGCCCTTCACTCACTTTGCAATGTGTTTCGTGCACATCGTCAAATTGGAAGATATAAGCGGATAGAAGACATACCAAAAGGGCCCCAAGAGGGATGAAGGCCGTGCAGAGGCAAACGTATTTGAAATTGATTCTATAATGTATAACAAGCTCCTCATTGGGAGTTTTCAAGTGTCCTCGTTGCTGGCTGATACTGTTCAGGGTACAAAGTGACTTCTCCATAACTGTGAATGGGGCAACTTAGCGCGTCTAAAATAAACCGTATTGGCCTAGTAGAGTATCATTTGGCTGTAAATAAATTGTAGATAATACTATTACATAAAAGCATGTTTTAACGAAAATAAACAAAGATGCTGACAGCAAATTGACACATAACCAACAAACTGGTTTGGCAGAATTGGAAGGCTTCTTTTTTTACCCAGATATGTTCTTTGTGCTTTGCACTGAGATTGAGAGGTTTCTGGAGCACAGAATATTGCTTTCCAGAACAACTAGAATTATTCAATTTAATTGGGGAGAAACCTTGTGGAAAAGTGTTTAGTATTTAAAAAAGAGCCAATTTTAAATTGTGCACATCGATGAAAATAATTTTTTTTCTCTGTCGCGGCTTTGACAATTTGTCAAATTTATGTTAGGTTAACCGTTTCCAGTTTTTTTAATTGTTAATAAATTCCATTATCATCAGAATGTTGCTAAAATAACCCACTGTCTACCCGCTAGTGGAACTTACCGGTTTAACAAATTACTAGTGTGGCGTTTTGGTTTCAAGCGCTTGATAGTGTGGAAAATGGGGCTCAGCCGCCAAGCGCAGCCCTTTGAGGGAAATTTCAGTGAACACTCGGTATCTGAAAGCCGCGGCCGACTAGTGTTTAAACAGCAAGTGATGAGTGTGAAACTGCAAAGTCCAGTGAGATGCAACAGTGTTTTGGGGCCAAAGTCAGTGAAATCCTAGATAAACAGGTGGTTTTGAAAAGGCGCGCCGCGCATTGGAAACAACGTCCCACACGCAAACAACGTGGAACATGCGGTGGGACATTCTTGAAGTCAACTGAAGGTGAAATCGTGAACGTGATAACCCTTCTAGTAGCTTGTTATCGAAAACAGGCAATCTTCTCGATAGTCACTGCCTAATTACTAGACTAACATATATCTTGATAACCCGGAATGTCAGAGCCTCAGTGCAAAAGAAGCAAGATGGCTAGCACGTTGGACCAACTAAAAGCGCTCACCACCGTGGTGGCTGATACTGGGGACTTTGAAGGTAAATATAGGTGTTCATAGTTGTTTTTCTGGACATTCAGATAGTTTTCCCGCATGGCCTTTGGACGTTTATTGTACTCACAAACATTCGTGAATGACTTCGCATATCGTTAATTATTTAATGAGCAACAGCATGATACAGCAAGTATATGTATCTAGGCGAGGCCCGAATGGTTTAAAATAGACACCAATTGCCTTAGGGCATGGGAATCATTGTAGTGAATTTTTCCGGCTTTTTCAGCCATGAAGGCTTACAAGCCCACAGATGCCACCACCAATCCTTCCCTCATCTTGCAGGCCGCCAATATTCCCCAATACAAGCCCCTGATTGAGAAGGCCGTAAAGTATGGCGAAAAACTGGGAACCACCATTGAGGAGAAGCTGGAAAACACCATCGACACCTTGTGTGTTCTGTTTGGAATCGAAATTCTGAAAATTGTGCCTGGACGAGTGTCCACAGAGGTCGATGCAAGGTGAGGCCGCTAAAAACTTCCATATTTCGTGTAATTTCAATATTCAAGTTTTATAATATCTTTTCGTACTTGGATGAATCAGTGAGACACTTAACCTTTCAGATAACGGGGATTTTACGCAAATTGATCGAGTGCTACTGAAGTAGTCTGCAGAGATCACACCTTTTTGTTTTAGCACCTTTTCCACTAATAAAGCTTCGTTTTTTTTTTAATTAGATTATCCTTCGATACAGAAGCCAGCGTGCGCAAAGCGCGCAAAATTATCCAATTGTATGCGGACAATGGCATCAACAAGGAGAGAATTCTGATCAAATTGGCCTCAACTTGGGAGGGAATCCAGGCTGCAAAGTAGGCGCTTTTGAGAACCAAAGCTTAAGAATTTCAGCCTTCAATAACGCCTTGGTTTCCAGGATTTTGGAGTCGGAATATGGAATTCACTGCAACTTGACTCTGCTGTTCAACTTTGCCCAGGCCGTAGCTTGCGCTGAAGCTGGAGTTACTCTGATTTCGCCCTTTGTTGGACGTATCCTGGATTGGTGAGTTCCATATCAATGTGTACAAAAAAATGCCTTTAACAACTTTTAAAAACTTAACAACAAAATCAAAGAATCGGTCCTCTTGTATTGGAGTGTGTAATTGTTGGTTGTTTTCAAGCCCTCAAAGGTACATTTGGCTTAGCGCTTTAGACTATTAAGTCATCATCAGGGCCATAATCAATCAATGCACAATCGATATCCCTTTGAGCATCCTCAAACTCATAAATTAAAAGAAAATAACAGCACCAATAGACTAAAATGGTTTAAATTTGTCTAAAATAGTCCGTCGTTCACACATCGATCCAACCGCAGAAGTTCCCGACACCTCAACTTGATCAATTGTGCATTGATTGCCGAAGTACCTGATGATGACTTAATGGTCGAACGCGTTTTGAATGTACCAATGTACCTTTGAAGGCTTGAAAAAGACCAAAAATTACACACTTCAATATAAAAGAACCAATTCTTTGATTCTATCCAGTGTGTAACACCCAGTCCTATTATTTTAACAACAAAACCCCATCTAGGTACGTTGCAAATACCGACAAAAAGAGCTTCACGGGAGAAGAAGATCCAGGCGTGGTTTCAGTCGCGAAAATCTACAACTACTACAAGAAATTCAACTACAAAACCGTTGTGATGGGAGCATCGTTCAGAAATACCGGTAAGAGAGAGTTTAGACGCTTTCATACGGCACTGGAATCAGTAGTAATCATACAGTAGCACTGCTTTTTTTTTATGCAAACCATTTTTTTTCTCTAGGAGAAATCAAAGCTCTGGCCGGTTGCGACTTGTTGACCATCAGCCCGAAGCTCCTTGGTGAATTGGAAGCCAGCACAGAAGCGCTGCCACGTAAGCTGAGTCCAGAATCCGCAAAAAATGCCCAATTGGAGCGCCTCGAGCTCTCCGAAGCCAAATTCAGATGGCTCTTGAATGAAGATAAAATGGCAACGGACAAGCTCTCGGACGGGATTAGGAACTTCGCAGCCGATTCCATTAAGCTCGAAGGTATTATCAAGAGCAAGTTAACTGGTAAGGCATAGAAAAAATTAAACAACTGGTTGTTAATAAATGCGAGCAATTAATAAACAGCTTTAATTATGCACCATTTTACTTGCTGGTAGAGTTGCGCCCGTCACATCGCGTTGTTTGATGTTAAAACTGTAGGTGTTACAGACAAAAGCCGGTTGAAGCCCCCATGTAACACGCACACTTTGCTGATGTTGCACTGAAGAAGGAACGTGGGGAACTGAAATCGGTTTTTGTTTAAGTATTGAAAACCCTGCAAATTATTTAAAACTGTGTTTTTGAATCACGTGAGCATTTTCAGCAAGAAATGATTCTTCTTAAGGAAAAGGACATCAACCTTAAACACCCGGAGGTTTTTCCATTAAGTCTTACCGTTTCAAGATCCGTATCCGCATCCCCAATCACTACCACCACTTTGTGGCCCTTTGATTTTAAAGCAGCGCTATGCAGCCCGATGTTGTCGATTATGTTGTCGCTAAAAGACACGCTAGAAAATGGAATGTTGATGCTGCCCATCACTGAGCATCTCGAATACCTATAAAAGCAATAAAACAAACATTAACACACCCGAGAAAATACATCAAAGAGTTCGGTAGTTCCAAACTGCGTGCGTACATTGTGGGATTTCTAATGTCGATTAAGAGCACATCATTAGGCCGATTCCTGACGAAATTCACCACATCATTGGCACTGATTCGTGGACATCGCTCTTTCTTCAGCTCCTCCAGCTTCAAGCCCACGATGTCCTTTTGAGCACAAATCATTAACCAGCCGCTCGAAGCCATTGAAACTTTTACTCACTAGCTCGTCCTTTTTATGGAACTTTCCATTTTCGTGTTCCCTGCTCGTAACGCTTCTGGGCGTGTTTTGATAAGTGCTGGTGGAAAGGAGCACGCATTTTTCGATATCAACTTCCGGAAGATCGGAGAACAGCAGGATGCATTCATTAAAGCCAGAAGTCAGCAATCGGTCTCTAAGTTGGGTCAGCACTGACAATCCGATGTGAATGGGGAAAGAAGAGTCGCACAACAGCAATCGGTCCCATAAATGCAGAATCTTGTACAAAGGAAACACATCTGCAAAACAACTCAATTAGCACATAGCATAAGTTCTACATCGTTGAGGCGGATTCAGTTTGCAAAACCCTTTTCTTGGGTATTTTAAAGAGACGGCAGTTCCTCACTGCTTCTATTTAGCGATTGAGAAAAAGCGCTTTGATTTATCAGTAAAGAACGAATTTTAGACTACACACGTAGAAATGTTTTTAGTATTTGCGCTAAATGCAAAAATCTGTGATTACTGCGGGTTTTGAAAAACGCTTTTAGTCTTTGGCTCATATTTAGAGAGCGGGTTGAGCTATAAGGCTCTAGTTATCACAGAGGGATAGAGCCTGAAAATGCGCACTTTTTCGCGCAAAGTGAAAAAATGAATGCCCTTAGTCCCAAGGCTCGTATTTAGAGAACGGAATAGGAATTTTTCTCTTACAGCAGTACAGTTGAGCCTACGTGTGTCGTAGTAATTACATTCACCCTCTAGATGGTATAAGCTCTTGTTTATAGAACTGTAGCTCTTGAATACCTTTTGATAAAGAATTCGTTCTTTATGGTGAAATAAAAGCACTATTTACGAATCTGTAATACAACACGAAAGAAAAATCTGTCGGTTTAAAAGAGAAAATGCCCGCAACAAATAGAACTAGATTTTCGAACTGAAAACTTACGCGAAAACAGTGTGAGAAACCAAGGAATGGCAAACAGTTGTGGATAAAAATTGATCTCATGTAGATGGTTGGCCAAATCCGGGTCATGGAAGGCGATCAGCTGGGAGAACTTGCACAAATATTCCTCAATAACAACCGAATTGTCCTTGAGGAAGAAGTTGTGCAGAAACTTCGGGACAAAGGCCGATAGGCAGGCAAAAGCCTTACCTGGAAAGTCGCACAAAGTTCTCAACTACTGAACTAAAAAACCGATTAGAACCCGCACCTTCATCGTTGAAGTTCAAATAAAGAAATGGCGCCGTAAGCGAATCGAGGCCTTGCCAGTAAACATACTGTGAGTTCTGATAAACCCAGGCCTTCAAAATGCGCTTCAGCTTCTTGTGGCCGTCGGCGGAAGAAAGCAGTTCGTTGTATTGGTGGCATCTTGGAATGTCCACCTCAATCTGATCAACTCGATTACTGAAGATAATCAGAGAAACTGATTGGATCTCACCTGGCGATCGGTAGTAGTATGCGTGACCTTATCAATTCTAGTATAAGTTGTTTCATAGTCTGCCTGAATGTTTAACAGCGCTGCCCATATCTCGCCCCTCAACAGCGGCGGAATATCTTTAGCGGATTGTTCCACAATGAAATCCTTTGTGAACGGATATCCCTAAAACATCAGCAACTGGCCGCGTTGTGCAAAGTTGCTTCAAATTGTAAAAACCCACGTGCAAAAGTCGCCGCAACAAAATCACCCGATGCAACTGATACTCCGGATCCTTTTCCTTGATTACCAGCGGCAAAGCGGTGGCATCATAAGGAGGAGGATCCGCATCAGCAATAATCTCCGATTTGCTGTGAATTAATGGATAAAACACTGGAAAGGGAATGTGTGCAAAGCGCTGATAGAGCGCGTCTAGAGGCATTTGCGCGATTCTCGGGTCGTAGAGCGTTGCGGGGTTGCGGTCCTGCCCAAGAACGACTCCTTCGATTAACACCAAGCTGGCAAAACGAACAAGCATTCAAAATCCACCGGGAATTCAATGCGGCAAAGCCCTACCTGGGTAGCGATAGAATGGGGGGGCTGGATCTGATCAGGCCTTGTTTTTTCAGCTCAAGCAACACGTCACCGCCTGCCAATTGCCACCAATGATACAGCTCGTGAATGGTGAAGATCTCAAAGGGTGGGCAAATTTTTCGGAAACCTTCGCCCTCTTTTGCCTTAAATTGCTGGAAGCAGGGCTTTTTCAACAGTAAATCGCAGGTGGGCCGGTGGCTTGGCAGGACATTCAAACATTCCTCAATTATCTCCTTTAGATCTTCTGGCATTTCCTTTAAAATTTATAAAAACGTAACTTCTAAGCCCAGAACATCAGATTTTCGAAGTCTTACGCACCAAATACTGTTCATAACTGTTGTGTTCTCTGGCGATTTTCTCAAGAATCGACCCATTCACCTGCAGCATGCTTAAAATTTTCCTGATTTTCTGGCCGAGTTTTAAGGAACTCCACAGCACTTTGTTGAGGGCCAGTTCGGCCAAACAGACTCCAAGCGACCAGATGTCGCATTTTGGGTCCGAGCTTAGCCGATTTATGCCGTTTAGAAACACCTCAGGGGCTGTATACAGCACTTGGCTGGAACAATTAAAAAAATTCAATCAAAATGGAAATTGAAAAAGCAGAACTGCTCCCAGGGAAGGAAGGATTAGACACCGCGTAGTTCTTGTGGTATAATTTTCAGCAGGATATTTTTTTTCGCTTCGGAGAAAACATTGAGCAAATTTACACTCAACAAATTTTTTTCCTTGGATTTAAGACATTAAAAATACTTTGCAAATTTCTGAAAAATACCGCAAAAAAAACCAGTTTCAAAAGTGTGAAAACAAAAAGTCTTTCCTGACCCCGACGTGATTTGAACACGCAACCTTCTGATCTGGAGTCAGACGCGCTACCGTTGCGCCACGGAGTCTACATCCGGCTTTTCAGCATAAGAGATTTCAACTAAATTAACAACTTACAACACAGGAAACGAGACCAAAGATCCGAACTTAGACATATGAAACAGGCCATAGTTAAACAACTTAACATCGCCACTACTTTGCAGAAGAATATTATCATTGCTTAAGGTGCGATGAACGATTTTCCTCCCATGCAGCACTTTCAACCCCTCTAGGATTTGATATGCAATTTGGACAATTTCCTCGGGTTCAAACCGCCGTTTTTCAATCAGTTCGGCCAGAGGGGTACCGCAGTATTGCGAAACAACGATTGTCCTTTCTGGAAAACATCAGATTTTGCCGCAATTTGACTACATTGTACAGGAAACCACCCACCGTGTTTGCCCCGGATAAAGTCCAAGTACTGGCACAAATAGGGGCAGTTAATAGTTTTGAGAGTCTGGGCCCTTCCAACTATTATAATAGAATTTGGGGTCAACGGCAATCCATTGCTTCCGCACGTATCACCTTTGTGTTGCTTCGCAAAAAATGTTGTGGCCCCAAATTGCATTTGGGGGTCCTTTAACAGCGGCAAAGTCGTCCCGACAGTCATTCTTTGCTTCTTATCACTTATCTATAAATAACTTATCAATTAAGGGTAATTAATTTTTTTAAATGTTTGTTTACATTTCTTAACCTCACATCCTGTCAACTTTGACACCTGGAAAATTTGCCGCTTGCTGCCAGACTTCGATAGTATTCTGGAGCTAGTTAAACTGTTAAGAACAAATTTCTGCCAGAACTAAAATCAGTTTGACGACTTATTAATTCCTCTGTGTCTAGCCAGGCATAGAAAAGAGCAATTCGATTGTTCGCTGAAGTAGTTCCAGAAAATTTCATGCACAAATGCTCAAAATCCTGGTTAAAATCAACTCAACTCCAGGAAGTGGCAACTGTGTGGTGGCCGTGGCAAGATAACCAATCATGTGGTGCTGTGCGCGCGTTGATTTTTCCTGTCAAAATTCCAGTTCAAAAATAGACATGCTTATTTCGTAATTTTATTTTAAATTTTTCAGTATTTATTTCAGGATCACCCCCATTTAGTTCATTCCGTTGGCGTGAACATCTAAACGCACACAAAAAATGTACGCTCGCAGAATATCGAACAACTTCATTCCTCAGCAACATAACCTACGAAATGTGATAGTGGAAAATTACAGTGAGAATGGTATTCAGCACTGCAGTTTAGTGATAAAAAGACAGTTTTCCGGCATAAAAAACCTGCGGAACCTGAAGGATAAGCTGGAGGTGGTTGTGGACAGAGCCAAAGCCTATAAGCGGCTGCTGTTCTCCAAAACAAGCCCTGAGAAGACTTTGCAGACTTGGGCCCAACAGTTTGAATTTGTGTTCGCTCATCGGGTCCGAAGGGGCCAGCAGATGATTTGCCTATACTCGAAATGGTGGGAGGAGAAGGCTTTGAAGGAGTTCCTCAAACGCCTGAGGATTAGCATAAATAGAAGTGGCAAGGAGTTCGTGCTTGGGGCACTTGGTAACAACAACAAAGTTCCTTTACCATAAAGTCCAAACTAACCCATGAAAACTCTTCAGGAGTCTCCCTGTATGACTGGGAACAGAAACGAATTGCTGACGAAGAGTTTCAAACCCATCTAGACGATCTTAAGTACGTCAATGTCCTGAAAGAAGCCACTATGTGCCTGTCGTGCTCCAAGGGAGAGCACTCTGCAATCAACACACGAATTTGCAAGGTTTAGACGCAGCCAATGCATGAATTCGGTCTAGATTTAGGAAAGTACGGTTTTCCAGTGTGGGACTGGAGGTGTCAGCAACAGAACATACGACGACTGGGTGCCATTTATTGAAAAAGATGATCTGGTGGTCTGGCGACGTCCACATGGCGAGGGTTTATTTGAGTACAAAGTGTATGGCTCCTACCACGATGTATCAGCGGAGGATTTCCTCAATACCCAAGTCGATACTGATTATCGAAAGGAATGGGACACCACTGCTATTCAGTTGGAAATTGGCGAAAGAGACCTACAAGCTGACTCAAACAGTGATATTTTATATTGGGAAATGCAATGGCCAGTAAGTATTTCGTGCAAAAATTTGCTGGAACGGGTAGTAGGACTTATAGCTGGGTCACGGGTTTAAAATGCTTCTGATTGAGAGTTGAAGCTGAAAATTTTCCAGGGCATTCAGAAAATTCTTAAACTTCAGATGAAATAACATTTTAGACGCAAAAGCTTGCCAGGATTTTCCTTTAAGTCAATTTTCCTGCTCGAATAGTACATAAACCTTTGAAAAATTTTCAGTCATGGATTTAAAATACTTCTGGCAAAAATTTGAAGCTCAATTTTTCGCAGGACATTCAGAAACGAAACGCATTCTGCTTATCACTTTCAATGTTTTCCCCCTTAACCGCAATTGCGATTCTAGAGACTGTTTGTAAATCGTGACTATGTATTCAACCGAAGATACAAAGTATTCAACGATAGTCAGACGATTGTGATAATAAACAAAACTACGGATTATCCGCGCTTTCCGAAATACCCAGACAAATACAGAGTGGAAGAGTATTGGTCGTGCATGGTCATCAAGCCCTATGAAAAGATCAATCAGCCTGGTATGTCTTAAACCAACCACTGGCATTGAATCTATAGCAAATTTTCACGTTTTTGGGATTGTAGGAATAGAATTTAGTTTAACGTATTTTGATAATCCCGGCGTAAACATTCCCTCCTCAGTAACAACCTGGGTGGCAAAAAGTGCTATGCCTGATTATCTGGCTAAATTGAGACATGCAAGCAAAAACTACCTGCAGTATTGTATAGATAAAGGTTTGTATATCTACATATATCTAGTGACTTATCCATTAAGAAAAATTGGAATCTTAGGCACGGGCAAGGCCTGTGAACTGTACCAGAACGCCGAAAGAGAGCGCAGAGAGGCAGAGGAGAAAAATAAACTGGAATACTGCTCAAATAACCGGCTAAAGGTCGCACTGAAGGATATTTTAGAGGATTTTCAGATCAAAGCAAATGTTCGCTTGTTCAGGAAGTCGGAGCTAGTTAGTGCAGGTATGTAGGTCTGACTTATTAAGATGGACAGAATATGATCTGCTCTATTAGTTTATTTAGATCAGTTAGTGGAAACACCTCCAAAAACTGAAGACAATCAGCCGCCACAATCTACGAGCAACAATCCGAAACCACCGAACAGCTTTTGGAGGTATTTGCATCCTCTCTATTACTTTACGTGATTTTAATGGGTTTTCTACATAAAGTAAGGTGGCCAAAACCGATAGTCATTTAGGATAAGGCTTTAAAATCTATTAATTGAAATACATTATATTTAATATACCATTTTGTTATCGATTGTTGTTGACTGATTGGATCTAGTCTGACTAAATTATTTTTGAACAATCAATGTAGTATGGTGTAGAGTTGCTGACTGTTTCTAAAATTGTACAATTGTTTTGTAAAATTTTTAACTTGCGTTCATAATAAATCATATCAAAACATCAAATGCATCTCGTTGAATTAAATTAATGAAAACCAGTAGCGTCGTAGGGAGGCCTCTAAACCAAGATTTTATTAACAGGAGAATGTCCACTACTGGCTTTAATTGCCCTTTTAACGACATAAACAGCAGGCAAAAGATATTACATGAAAAAAGTCTTCAGCTCTATTAAAAATTCTACAATACGTGATAATGGATGTTTTTGAAGTGAAACTTTGCCAAAAACAATCGGGTAAAGCCGGCGAATTTATGTTAATACTAAAATGAGTGGGTTTAAGTAGAACGTAGCATTAAGGGAACGTTTTACTCACTTTTTCACTTCACTGTTTGGGTGTTGTGACATAACCAAAAACAACAAAACATTTGGGTTACTGATTCTGTCATCTTCATTTTAGGATTTATTGTTCGTCCACCGATGCCAGATCCAGGAAGTTTTATTTGAATAACGTTTAAAGGAATTTCAATTGCTCATAACACAAAATCAGTTTTTGAACGTTCAATTTGTAAGTTCAAAAATTAAATTCAACGAATTTTTTAACCGTTCAAATCTAACCAGCTATGGTTGTCTTGGTTTAGCACGTGGGGAATATACCTATGTTGATCTAAGATAAACCGCGAAATTGTGAAAAATCACGACAAAGTCAATGTATTAAAAAACAAAGCGACTTTTAAAAGGATTTTTCGAAGACAGTGTCATTGATTCCAGGAATAATGTTGCCTGGACTTGGCATCGCCGCCAATTTCATTCGTCTTCTAAGAACCATCTGACAGATGCATTTGCATTCACTTCATTTCATACCATATATGTCATGAAATATATGGTAAATACAATATTTGGAATTTTACCTTGTTTTTAGTGTGTTTTTAAGTGAAAAGTGTGAAAACCCAGTGTTTTGCTCAGTTATTATTGTGCGCCATTTTCCAAAAATGCATACAGTATTCCGTTGCAGTCAAGTGCAGTGTTTAGTGGCGTAGAATGCAGCTCAGATCTTCTATTAGGGCCAAGTGCTTGGTATCATATGGATTAAGCCAACATTTATAGATTAGAGGTAAGGGCCAGTTTGTAATTCATAGTTTGCCAGAACGGCTATTTGGAAATTAACTGCAGGCTTTGAATCAGCAGCCAAAAACAAGCAATTGCTTAGAAAGGTGCTTGTTCTAGTTATGTCTCAAAGAGAAAACCTCGCCTCTTGATCTCTTGAATAGCTTGTGCAAAATGGACATTTTGTGCTAATTTTTTAACTCACTTTGAAACTGGATAAAGCTGAGGAATACGATTGATAAAAACTGCAATCGTTCTTTTAGAAATTCATTGCTCAACTATGAGATGAGCCAGCGTTGATTTTGGTGCGATCTTGAAAAGAAAACCTTATTTTAATTTCTAGAAAAGTTTTTGGAACACTTCACTAAACTCCAAACTGTGGAGAGCAGCTGTGGGACTGGACTGATAAAACTGCAGTTTTTATTTGAAATAATAATTATAAGAAATTGAGTGGAGTTACAGCTATGTTTTCGATTCAGGAGCGAGCACTTTCCTCTAACATTTCTAAAAGTGGCATTTTCATGGATAATTTAACCGATTTTTCTACGAAATTCCAAACTACAATGGTGCATTTGCGCTATTTCAGCAAAAACTTCGCCAGTAAAACCTCCTTTTCCAACAAAATGCACTAAAGATTAGACTTATTGCAACTCCAGTTGAGACCCTGATCTTAAATAAGTCTATTTTTGATTGGCGCACTAACCTTTAAGTGTGCCTAATGTGTTAATTTAATAAACAATCATTAAGTATGGTTGATAATTATCCAACCTGGGCGACTAGCGTCTTGGAACCTGCAGTTTTTTTTCATCTAATTTGATTAATGATTGTTTGCCAATAAGCCTAGAAGTAAGTAGCAGTATTTTCTGTTATGTTTTATCTGAAAAAGTTTAAAATCAAACGTAAACCAGCCTTTGATTTGCTTAACGCAACCTAATCGCAAGAGTAAATTGAAGTAAAACCCAGTTGATAGAGTTTTTAGTTAAAATTAAGTTGGGCAACAGTAAGCCAATAGATAAGATTAGATAAAGCTGCAGCTTGGCAATTATATGGGGATTAAGTATGCTTGAATAGACTATACATGTGTTGATTGTTCTTAAGGATAAATCCGCGGTTGGAATACGGCAAATAATTCCTATCAATTACAATGAAACGGAATCTAGACAGTTTTATCTCAGTGATAGTGATTGATTTTTCTCTTCAAGTCTAGAAGGCAGTTTAGGTTTTTCAGTGATTTGGATTTGTCAGCATCTATGCAGGTACCTACACTATTTATAGTATTTTTTCTGCGCTATTTCGATACCAGCTTGTAATGTATCTATTGATTATGGATTGCTATGCAGTTGGTTTAGCAACAGTCTATTTATTACACAAGAACAGTATGCGTTGCCTTTCCCTTGCCCGGTTGTGGCACTAACTCTTAATGCATTATTTGTTAATGCATATCAATAGCAAATTGCTTTCATAATTTACCATACCAGTTCTCGTTTAGCGTTGGGTACTGTGATGCAAACAGAATTTTAGCACACTTTAAGAAAACAATTATCCACCATGTGCTTTAATGGATGTTTCCGTTCGATGAATGAGGGTTTATCACGCAACTGGGCTTTTTTCAATCTAATTCCCAATGGAAAGTGAGTGTCTGTTCCATTGGCACATGCTAAGCCAATTGATGTGTTCTATTAATAAGTATTAGGTGGTAATTGCTTAGGTATTCCGTTTATCTGGTTCTGGTTACTTTTATCTGACATATATTAATTGTTTTATCGTGTTTGGTACACGTAACGATTGAAATTTCCGTGCGAATGGACAAATTCATTTTTCAATGCCTATTAATTGTCGTAGGTATTACAGCTTAAATGGAACAAACTGCCATTGCCCTACTCTATTTCCTTCCCAGATATTATAATTAGGTCGATGCACGTTAAATATTTACGAAACGCTAAATAAAATGTCCATCTTTTAAGGATAATCTCCACTATCTCAACTAGAATAATAAATAGCTCGTATAAATAGTCGCCTGTATTTTTAAATATTCGACCAGTAGAGATTTTCAACTATGTAGCTGAGTCTCTTGTTAAAGTTCAATATGGTTAGTGAGTGGTTTCTCTGCGAATTAACTAATGAGTTTTACTGTTAGTGATTAAAATCCATTAGCTTAATTGCCCAGATCGGGCCTGGTTTATTTATTTTCCATATTATTTAATTTCAATCGCGGTTGATTTGTTCCGATGTTTGCGGAATCTTCAATCAGGACTCAAGTAATTCTAGGGAAAATACATCGTTTTAATGAAAAAGTGGCCAATCGAAAGGCTTTGGTTTCTGGCCAGCATCCAATGTTTGCAAAGGTAATTTTTTGTTCACTCTGTATTTTGGAAACGAAGCATTTAAGAAGGGTTTGTAATTTACTGTAGATCACCCTGTATATTCAGCCAATATACAGGTGGTTAACGTAGCATTTAAAAGGGCAAATTGTGTGACTTTCAACTAAACTCCAAACTGTCGGTAATGCGGTTGAATTCGACTGATAAAAACTGCAAGGATTATTTAAAAAAAAAATTTACAAGGAAACGAGCTGAGATAAAACGTTCATTTTGGCACGCACTGAGTAGCGAAAACCTTGCTCTAACTCCTTGAGAAGTTACATCTAAGTGGGAAAATTGTGTGACTTTTGACTCAACTCCAAACTATCGGTAACGCTGTTGAATTCGACTGATAGAAAGTGCAACCATTATTTCAAAAATTAATCACAAGGAAAAGAGCTCAGTTAAAACGTTGATTTTGGCAGCAATGGGAAGAGAAAACCTTGCTCTAACTCCCTGAGAAGTTACATTTAAGTGGGAAAATTTTGTGACTTTTGACTCAACTCCAAACTATCGGTAACACTGTTGAATTCGACTGATAGAAACTGCAAGCATTATTTCAAAAATTCATTACAAAGAAACGAGCTGAGATAAAACGTTCATTTTGGCACCACTGAAGAAGATTCATTTTAGTGGGAAAATTGTGTGACTTTTGACTCAACTCCAAACTATCGGTAACGCTGTTGAATTCGACTGATAAAAACTGCAAGCATTATTTCAAAAATTAATTACAAGGAAACGAGCTGAGATAAAACGTTGATTTTGGCACCACTGGAAAGCGAAAACCTTGCGCTAACTCCCTGAGAAGTTGTATTTAAGTGGTAAAATTGTGTGACTTTCCACAAAACTCCAAATTGTCGGTCACTCGATCTGATTCGACTGAAAAAACTACAAGCATTATTTCAAAAATTAATTACAAGGAAAGCAGCTGAGATAAAACGTTGATTTGGACACCACTGGGAGAGAAAACCTTGCTCTAACTCCCGAAGAAGATGCATTTGAGTGGGAAAATTGTGTGACTTTTGACTCAACTCCAAACTATCGGTAGCGCTGTTGAATTCAACTGTTAGAAACTGCAAGTATTATTTTTAAAATTCATTACAAGGAAACGAGCTGAGATAAAACGTTGATTTTGGCACAGCTGGGAAGCGAAAACGTGCTCTAGAGAATTGGGGGAATTTTTGGCAAAGTTACAAATAATGGGTGAGGGCTGTTGTGTGATATATTGAACACACTGTACAGTAACGTATCTAAAACTGAAATAGGGAAATCTAGTGGGTCAAAATCAACACTTTAAGCAGGGCAAACCATCTGACTCCTAAATGTCTAAATCAATTAAGTAGTTGAGTTAGAAACCAGTTGCTGGACAAAATCAGATTCTATCTCATTCTTTTTTTGTAAATTCATTAGGTTAATTCTGTTTTTTTTTTCAGGATCAAAGACTGAACCCAGCCTCCGAGATGGAACACGCTCAACTAATCGAGGAAATGCCCCGCATCGAACAGATGCCTACCCAAGACAGGCTGATACTGGCAAGGAAAAGACGCAGCCAGCAGCTGAAGCAATGGATACACAAGGATAAGGAGCATGGCCGCAAGACCAAACCAACCAAGAGCAATAAGCGGGGCATAGTGTTCGATGACAGTGTAGTGTTGTTGGAAGCAGCCGCTCGAAATGATATAGACGAAGGTAACAGACAGTTTCCTCGGACTTAGACAGAGGAAAGCCTTAGAAACATCAGCCTTATTGTGGTTTATTGCACTTTCAACAGTAAGAAGACTACTTATGAAAGGGGTGAGTCCGGATTCATGCAACGAAGACGGACTGACCGCCCTACATCAATGTTGCATAGACGATAACGAGCCAATGCTGTCCCTGCTTCTGGAATATGGCGCAAATGTAAATGCTGAGGATAGCGAAAAGTGGACACCCCTACATGCAGCAGCCACTTGTGGGCATTTGCGGCTGGTCAGGTAGGATAGCAGTTTTCAGCCAAACCTGATTTTTCACCCGAGGTTTCGTTTGCCTTCACAGGATATTGATCGCGCGAGGTGCCAACTTATTGGCAGTGAACGCCGATGGAAACATGCCGTATGATATCTGCGAAGATGAACAAGCCCTGGATTATATTGAGAGCGAAATGGCGAAAAACGGGGTAACTCAGCAGCTGATCGACGAAACTCGCGGCAGCACTGAACGGAAAATGCTCTCCGATATGACGAGTTTGGCGCAACGGGGCGAAAGCCTCGAGCAGTACGATTCTCAAGGAGCCACGCCTGTGAGTACATCAGACTCCCCAAAACAATCAGAGAAAAAAGGATTTTTCGAAATTTCAGCTTCACATTGCTGCAGCCAACGGATACATATCGGTAGTGGATTTTCTGCTAGAGCACGGAGTGCGAACGGATGTTAAGGATAAAGACGAATGGCAGCCTTCGCATGCAGCCGCTTGTTGGGGGCATGTAAGTCATTTAACTCTACGAATCGTCAAAAAACCATAACTGTTATTTGCTTGCAGATTGATGTTCTGGAACTTTTGGCGCAGGCAGGAGCCAATCTGAACGCCCGAAATAAAAACGACGAGACCCCATCAGGTATTTAATTAGTTGCCATCATCACCCTTACTAATAATCACCAAATCAACTTGAATTACACTTAGGGATAATCAATAATCTAATGAATCACAATTAGTAACCTTGTGCCCGATTCGGCGAATCGGCACTTAAAATTCCACTAATCCCATATATCCAGGTTAATTAGACGATGATTTTTTTCTAGATATATGCGAAGACCCGGATATTAAGGAGCGAATTCTAGAGCTGCGAACTGAGCAAGAAACCAAGCGGCAAGCGGAGGCGAAGAGAAAAGTGCGCCGGTCGCAAAGCAACACCCGAACCCAATCCGTCCGAAGAACGTCGCTCAGGGACAAAGGGTTGACTGCTCGAAGGGATGCAGTTGAAGAAGCGCGGTTTCGGTTGCAAGCTGGAAGCACTAATAATGTAAGTCTTTTTGCATTACTAATTCTGCGCCAAAGCCAGCCATAATTATTTAGTGGTAGTTTTACTATTCAACAGTCGACATGACTAGAAAATTAATTAAACTCATACTTACACGAAACGTATATTAAATTGTTTAATTGTCTCGCCCGATGGCACATTCGGGGTACGAATACAGGAAAGTAAACTTATCAAACGATCAATTATTGGCCAAACACCGCATAAATAGTTCATACATAGATGCATGTGTGATGTTCCTCAAATGCATGAAACATTCTTGAAGTGAAACCTAATGCAATATTTATTTTATGTAACGATTACTGCATTGTATGTAATAGTAAAAATCAGTTTGGACCGCGCTCGTGGTGTTGTGGCAGTGGTGTTGGATGTTTCACAGTTGGCATGTTTTTTGGGATGCGAAAAAGACACAGTGCAGTTGTGTGCTTGTCCTATAAGGTAGAAAAACTTGTTTGGTTGCCATTTGTTGCCTACAACTAGTCGTTTTTACTGATGTTAATTCATTTTACGTTTTTTTCCCATGCCTTTCTTTTTTTCATCCGCTGCAATTCTTCATTTATTGAATGCATACAGTTGTTTAAAATTGAAAGTTACGATTGTTTCAGGGATTGGATACTGCCGATACTTTGCCGCCCACTAACCCAATTACGCCCAGATTAAGCAATGGCTCCAATAATAACAACATTGATTATTCGATTACCAATAACAACAATAGCAAGCCAAGAACTGAACTGGATTCCAACTCAGGTAGGTTTGAAACGGCTGCAGGGTATTTTGTAAATATACCAACAGATCGTTTGGGGTGATAGAGAACATAAAAACGAACATTTTGGATTTATTAGCGCTACATTTTCGAGATGCAGTGTCTTGGTTGCATGGACCTTTAAAAAAAATAGTTTCGTAGAAACTAGGCTATGTGAAAACGAGCTTGTCTCCTAATTTAAAAGACTAGAAAACGAGCTTGTCTCCTAATTTAAAAGACTAAACTTGGGCTTAAATGCCCTGAAAATGTAATTTTTCACTAAAGATCTGGTGATCATTGGGAACTGTTAGATTCAACACTAGTAGGGCGCTCCAGCACATATCGTAGTTGTGTGGGTGTTTGTTCAAAAATTAATTCTGTCGAAACTAAAATGGATGGACACGCACTTATTACCTCGTTGCAAGGAGAAAACCTCGCTTAAAATGTTCTGAAAGTTTCATTTTTTGCAAATAGTCTGGTGAGCATTGTACCTCTTTGATTTAACACTTGATGGGGGCTCTAAGAAATCTCTTGGTTGCGTGAGTGTTTCTTCAAAAATTCATTTTACCTAAACTAAAATAGTTGGAATCGCGCTTATTACTTCATTCAAAAGAGAAAACTTCGCTCTGAATGGCCTGAAAGATTAATTTTGCGCAAAAAATATGTTGAATATTGACGAGTGTTTCATTCAACGCTTAATTGATGATCCAACACATTTCTAAGTTGCGTAAGTATCTGTTCAAAAATTAATTTTGCAGAAACAAACAGATTGAAACGCTCTTGTTAACTCATTGGAAAAGAAAACTTTAAATGGCTTGAAAGTGTAATTGTTCGCAAAAATTCTGGTGAGCATTGGCAGCTCTTTGATTTAACACTTGATGGACGCTCCAAAAAATATCTTAGTTGCGTGAGTGTTTATTCAAAAATTATTTCTGTCGAAACTAAAATAGATGGAAACACGCTTGTTACCTCATTACAAAGAGAAAACCTCGCTTAAAATGTTCTGAAAGTTTCAATTTTTGCAAAAAGTCTGGAAAGCATTTGCAACTTCATGAGGAAACACGCTTGTTACCTCATTACAAAGAGAAAACTTTGCTCTAAATGGCATGAAAGTTTAATTTTTCACAAAAATTCTGTTGACCATCGGCAGCTGTGTGCTTCAACACTTGTAAGGCGCTCCAACACATATTGTAGTTGTGCGGATGTTTATCCAAAAATTAATTCTGTCGAAACGAAAATAGATGGAAACGTGCTTGTTACCTCATTACAAAGAGAAAACCTCGCTTAAAATGTTCTGAAAGTTTCATTTTTTGCAAAAAGTCTGGTGAGCATTTGCAGCTCTTTGATTTAACACTTGATGGACCCTCCAAAAAATATCTTAGTTGCGCGAGTGTTTATTCAAAAATTATTTCTGTCGAAACTAAAATAGATGGAAACGCGCTTGTTACCTCATTGCAAAGAGCAAAACTCGCTTTCGATGCCCTGAAAGTTTCATTTTTCGCAAAAAATCTGGTGAATACTATTCAGTAGTAGTCATACTGAGTGTTTGATTAAAGACTTCAATGAGCGTTCCAACACATTTCCTAGCTGCCTGGATGTTTCTTCAAAAATTAATTTTACAGAAACTAAAATCGATGAAAAGGCGCTTGTTACTTCATTGATAAGATAAAACTTCTCTTTTAAATGTCCTAAAAGTTTAATTTTTCGCAAAAATTCTGATGAGCATCGGCAGTTGTTTGATTCAACACTTGTAGGGCACTCCAACACATCGTAGGGTGGCTGTTTGGTCATAAATTCAATTCTTCGAAACTAAAACAGATAGAAATGCGCTTGTTGCCTCATTGAAAAGCGAAAACCTCGCTTTGAATGTATTGAAAGTGTAATTGTTCGCAAAAATTCTGGTTAGCAGTGGCAGCTCTTTGATTTAACACTTCATGGACGCCCCAAGAAATCTCTTAGTTGCGTGGGTGTTTCTTGAAAAAATTATTTTGCCGAAACCCAAACAGATTGAAACCGCGTTTTTTACTTCATTGAATAGAAAAAGCTTTGCTCATATTAAATATACATAAAATTTTGCTAAATTTCTCCACTCACTTGACACATTTGAAAACACCCCGAATAACGGCAATTACATCAATGTTCATTTGCAGGTGCAATAGCAACTATAGACCGAAGAGATCCAGAAGGCAGAGACAACGAGTCAATTCCAGACGAGAATATTCTGGATACCAAGGAGAAAACGTACACGACTGATGTCAATGGAAAGGTAAATAGTCTGGTCTTTTCCTCCTTTGCGCGGCGCAGCAAGAAATTCTTGTCCATGCCGGCTTAGAAGCCCGAAAAACCACAAGTTTTTTATATGAATCTATTGTTTTTCGCAGGTGACGGTTCACGTGGTAGTAACCATAAACGGCAATGGCACATTAGCCGATTTGAAGAAGCAAAGAATGCAAATCCGGAACAGTAGCAACGATGTGAGCTTCAGTAACGATATCAGTGTGGTGTCGCCTGGAGGCAGCATAGACGAAACAGAGTCGACCATCACGGCCAGCGGCCATCCTTTAGAAATAATTCGTTTTACTGGCGACACCACGCAGGAGAACATGGAATATGCTAAGACGAAACGATGTTGTGTTATACAGTAACAAGACATATTGGTTCCATTTGCCACCAGGCATATCTGGCTGAAATGCGGAAAATATATCAGCAAAAATGCGCCGATCGCGTTGCCGAAGTACAAACTGCCAGGTTTACATCCAGGGTGATCTAATGCGCTATTTACCTTCCCGAGCAAACAAGGTTGTGCATGTACAGCTACTTTTAAACCGTATTTTATCCGAAACATGTTCGTCCGTTTCAAGTATCATCTAATTCCGGGTCTTTATTGCTAATAGTCAGCATGCATAGGGCGTTTTTATACGCCCCGTATAAAAAATGTGCAGCGATTTCGCTCCATATAAATTCAAAAAAAATCGATTTTTTCTTATTCTTGGCATTTCTTCACTCAAACTCCATATAAGGATTTATTGCTTAGAACAGTCGTTCGAGTCCAACACCGGTCCACAACTGAAAATATTCACTTTCATTAACTAAATCATCAGTTTACATCAAATTAACACTTGCTAATGTGCAATTTGCGTCATTTCAGCATACTTTTTCTAGTTGTGTTGGATTTTGTTACATTTCCTTATTTTTTGTGTATTCTTATTGAGTTAAAATGTTGCAAAACGCCCTGCATTTCACATTTTTTAAAGCTGGTCTGGTAAACGACTGTCTGCTGCTCAAGAAGATATGAGTGAAACCGCCGCAACTGGTCGATTCTGTTCTATTTCAAATTGTCCCACTCATATTTTCTCCTGTACATTATTATGATTTTCTTGCAGTTTGCCACATTCTCATTAATTTATGTTTTAACCATTTGTGATAGTTTCGCTGTCCGTCCACTACCAGCCGATTAGGGCGCAATTTTCTCATATGTACATAGTCACTCATACTCTTTTACATTTTAAGATGTACAGAATGTTTATGTATGTTATGTTACCTAGAAGAACTGTTTACGGTACATTCCGAAATATGTGATAGAATTTATTTTATTTAAGTACTTAATTGAAGCTTAATAGCAGTGAGGTGGTTAAAAAATTAGTGTAAGGTCATACTAGTGCCTCAAATAGATAAAGCAATATTTATTTACAAAAGTTCGAAAAAGGCGCCTTTTGAGGCTTCAAGGAAACATCAAAAACTTTGCACTTTTTTAAGCAAGAAATTATTAAAGACATGAATTTCCACTGATGTTATCTTGAAAGATATATCTTTTTCACTTTGAATTCCAGTATTACGTTTTTGTTGATTGTAAAATTGTCGATAGCTGATAAGTTTATGATATACCCGTTCTGTATTATATTTTTATTCGATCGGAACATTTCCGTTGAAAGTAATTATTTTCGTTCCTTTATTTATAGATATTTCGTTTACTATTAATGCCATTAATGTTAATTTTCAGTCCTCGAAAATGCAGTGTCTTGCGGCGGTTACAAATTAGAAAAACGCGCCCGATCAAAATCGGTCGAACAATAGTTAAGCGGTGATTTTCTTCGTAGTTAAATTGAATTTTTGTTGTTCCTGATCATGTAGCCCTGTAATAAACAATTTAGTTCCAACTGAGCAACATATTTCTCTAAAACGGATAAACCATTTTTTTCCAAACAAAATCAATGTAATCTATTTCAAATAAAAAACTCACACCATGTAGGGAACAATTTACAATAAACGGCTGGATCAAACACATTTTTGGTCGGTTTAATCGTTCGACAATTTCACATAATAAATTTCAAGTATTTAAAAACCCAAATTAAATAATGCAATGTTTCTACTTACATTTTAAGGCAAAATCACTATTAAGTAAGTAAGAAATTAATTAAACCCCTTATCTATGCTCTACAGCTTTTCTTCGTTTGGCTGGACATCGTCAACCTCCTTTTTAACTTTAACCTCTGCGTCGTCCTCTTTTTTCTCTTTTTTGATGTCCTGATCTTTGACCTCTTTTTTCACCCCGTGCTCTTTTTTATCTTTATCGTAACCGTCCTTACGCGAGCCGTCTTTTTCCCACCGAGATTTTCCATCGTCCCTGTCCTTTTTCTTGTCATTATCCCGCTCCCTGTCCTTTCTATCATCTTTGTGCGACGCCGTTTTTAATACTGGTTCGATTTTATCGCGAATGTCCATCAAAGTGGTTTGGAATAGTTTCGAATGGGCCTGAAAACGTTGGTGATATTACGATTTGAGTAGAAAACTAGCGGAAATTGATTACATTTGACCTTCCCAGAACATCCTCGGTGCTGCGCAACTTGTCCTTGTATTCCTTTATTTCCGAGTTCAAGTGCTTGATCGTGGAGCTGGATTTCGAATATTTATCCGAAAGCTTGTGGTTCTCGGTTTTCAGGTCTATAAGACACTGCTCTGTTTCTATCCGCGCCTTTTCGCTTCTGTCCAACTGACTCAACAACTTGCCAATGTCCACCACTGCGCCTTGATACACCACTAAATCTGGACATTATATGGAATTAGGGAGGTTGAAGTGATTTTCTATTGCATACACTCACCTTCACTACCCAGGGGTTTTCCGCCTTCAACTGCGGGCTTCACACTGATCTTCGATGCCTCCTCTTCAAAGACGGGCAGCAATTTCTTGTTGCCCAACGCAATTTCGTGCCAATTCACAGCGATTTCCGCGTGTTTTTCTCCGTTTTCTAGTTCCTCCTTTTCTTCTTCCTTGGGCTTATCGGTTAACTTGCGATAATGCAACGTGTCTCTGGTGACCACTTTGTTGACGATCTTCTTCACCTGAGATCTGGATAAACTGAGACCTAGAAATTTCGAACTGTTAGATGGTGCCCGGTGGTGGCGCGTGCAAGCTTACCGAGTGTGTATAGAAGCTCCTCCATGTCCTTGTCGAATATGTAGCCGCAGTGGGATTGATCAAAGTAGACGAATGAGAGCAACAGATGCTTGTCCTTGGTGATCAGCTTGACGCGGTCCTTCTTTTTTTTGTCTTTTGTGCTTCTGCGGCCATCATCGTCGTCTTCGTCACTGGAATCGGACTTGCGGTCCTTTTTCTTATCGTCGTCCTCCTTTTTGGGTTCCGTGCTGGAAAAAACCATACCGCCCGTTTATATTTGCTTAGCTACAGCTAAAACCTGCACGTACTTTTCTTCGGGTCTGCTTTCATCGTCTGACTTTTCGTCCTTCTTGTCATCGTCCTTCTTTTTCTTCTCGTCTTTCTTTCTTCGGTCCTCCTCCTTTTCCTTGGGTTTCTCCGGCACCTGGTACAGTGCCTTGAATATGTTGAACCCGAAGTCCCTCATCAACATCTCGTTGAAAAGTTCCGCAAACAATGAAACCTAATAATAAAATTAATGGTCAAGTTAGGAATGTTTTCAAGCATTTGCTGCTACCTCAAATGAATGTTCTTTTGTGTCTTCGGGGCGATAATCGAGTAGAAGCGAAAGCGACATTGAAGTGCAGTCGAATTTGCCAGATTTTGCTACCTTCGAAGGATGCACGATCAGATGAGGCTGATCGGGTAAAGTGTACTGTTTTTCCAGTCGTCTTTTCTGGACTTCATCCAGTTTCTTTTCTTCTGGCTATAGGAATTGTTAGATGGTAATTGGTTAAAGTGCGTTTTTGGTGGTGCGACTGCGACTCGCGGCTGATCGCAAATTACTCCCTTAGTGTGCTTTGCACATAAACGGTTTCAGTCGTGCGTTCCGACTAGAGTCGCAGCTAATGCGATTCAACTGGTAGACGGATGAGTCAAACCACAGTCGCAATTGCGATTTTGGGAAAATTATTCCTTTTCCTCCGCTTCTGACAAAACAAGTGTTATAAACGCATCACCTCAACCACTTTGCGACTGCGGCCAAACGCCGATCGCACCACCGAAACCGCACATTTAGATGGAAAATTTACCTCAGACTTCTTATCCTTTTCCGCACTGGGGGAAGCTTCAGGAGCATCATCTTTTTCACATTCCGCCTCGCCGTCGGAGTTGGGCTTCTCCCTAGGATCTTCCTCTTCCCTATCGGCTTCACTTTTCAGGGCCTTAGTCAAGCGGGCAACCAACTGAGCCTTCAGTCCCTTAAAGTCCAATTTTCTGGCTTTTAGCTCGGTTCTTAGCTGGACCACGGTCATGGCTTTGGGATTCAACTCGCTATGCAATGTGGGCTCCAACACTTCCTCGTTGTCTTCCTCCTAAACACAGCAAAAAGACCTGAGTTAGGAATCGGAGTCGTGATGTTGAAGGGTGATTTATAAAAGACAATCTTCGCAAACACGCTTTTTTCGATGTAAGGAGCAATCAATCATCCATCGCCAAGCACCCTTAGAGTGAGGCCACGCCAGCCAAATTGAATCGGCTGACTCGCTCGTTTGCAGTCTGGTCAGCAACAGTTAACAGCGACAGTACTGTAATACCTAGCCTATTTTTCAGATCTGTATAGATTAAAAAAAAATTGGGAGTGCCTTATCATCGATGCCGATGTCAGCCTCCTCAGTCTCCTCCGCATCAGTTTTGATGATTTTTTCCAAGTGTTTACGGTAGCTCAGCTGCACCTCCTCCCACTCAAGCCGCGTGGGCAGACAGCTCCATACATCCGGCAAGAAGATTACAACAGTTTCGACTCTGGCCGGAATAGCTTTTCCTTTGTGTGTCGTCTCCCCGCGTCGATAATACAGCTCCACGAAGCGGTACCTACAGGCGGGAACACAGACAGTTTGAAAAATTGATGTTATTACTAAACTTCAGAGCAACAGACTGCGGTCCTGCAAAAGACCGATAGTCTCCTGTTGACCTTAGAGTGGCTCCTACAATGCTTCGCTTCCAAACACTGATTTTTTATATGTTATTGCTAGACGGTTTCAGTTGCTCTACTAGCGCTTCTGACCAGTTCATATTCAAAAATAATCGAATGCAGCCAGATTGTTCAGCTTTTTACAAACATTCCGAACTAGTTGTACTCTTTGCCTCATTAAGTGTGACTTTACCTAGAAAATACCCATTTAGCTCCAAGCAGCAAGTGAACGCCGTTATGGTGCAGTCAATTCCCCATTCTATTCGAAAATAACATCGAGATACACGGGGTGTTTGTAAAACTAAAATAAATACTCATACAGTTGAATTCTCGTGAAACCCATTGTTGTAAATGGTAACGAAAATTAATCCCAAAAAAAATATTTAAAAAATAGAATTTTCCTCATACGAATGATATATTGATACCCTATCAATAAAAATACCGCCGCAGCACTTTGAGAGGCAGAGATGTATATCTAGGAATGCTTAATAAAAAACGTGGCGGAATTACAATAAGTTTTACATAGCGGAATTTCCTCAAATCCTGTCCAAGATTGGGCAATGACCGAAAAACTGAACAATCTGCCCGCAACAAAATACATGTAAATAGCCTCAAAAGTGTTCTAAACTCACCACTGGGTACAATTCGACAAGTCGATCCCAGTCAATGCCTTGCAGGTCCTGATGGCAGTTTTGATTAGAACAGCAGGGTCTTTTTCGGGATTTTCACCGTCTAGGGACGGACTCCAGGGGCCTCCGATCGCCATCGTTTCGTTCTTCCCTCTGAGACCGACCAGGAAATTGATCATTCTGGTGGGATGAATGTGATCGCGATCTTCGCTCTCCCGATCACGCGAGTCTTTATCTTCAGCAATGGCGCAACACTTTTGATAGATTTCCTCGATAACAGGCACGCTCATCAGCATCACCTAAGAAATAACATTTTATTATTAAAAACAGTCCCTGTAAAGGAAAATTCGGGCGAATGTCTACCTTTGCAGAAAATCTGTAATCGGCATCAGCAGGCTCTAGTACAGCATCATTTTCACCAATTGGGTCCAGTTCTTTATACATAATGTGGAACGAACAGGGCCTATTGAGGGCGTACGGTTTATCAGCAGGAAACGCGTCCACCCAACGGATGTAGGTGTTGAAAAAGTCGGAAGGAATGTACAGATTGGGGTAGCGCTTCTTCAGCTCCAGTAAATCGGCGTCGGTCCTGAAACATTCCAAGTATTATTCCTCCAGATTCAACCCAATTCCCGGAAATTTAGCGTACAAGTTCAAGCTGATTTTCGGGATTTGCACCATATATCTGGGAATAGTCCTGGTGCGACGGCGAGCTTTCGGCGACCTCGATCGGCGCCTAACAGGCGACTTTCGCTCCTTGTCCTCCTTTTCCCTTTCCCGGATTCGATCCTCTCGGCGTCTCTTTCTCTCAATCTCATCGTCATCCCGCTCGCGGGACCGATTTCTTCTTTCGCCGACACTTGGCTTGGTTCTGGGATCCCGACTAAAATCTCGTCTGGGGTACGTATTATTTCCCTCTACAGGCCTTTGTTCTCTGGGGCCGTTTGGCATCACTTGAACCCTGGTTGCATTCCATTTGAAGGGCATTGAAGGGTTGAAAGCTGCCTCAACCAGAACCCTGTCACCCACCATTGGAGTGGAACCTTTCAAGCAAACGTTTCGAGAAAAAAATACTTCATCATCAATGAAGCCAAAGTTCTCATGAAGCTGAGTGATTGAACCGGTGAACACTTTCTGTTTGGTACCTAAAAACACGTTTTTCTGTAAATTTAACTAAGTTTGTTAGGTATATGAAATCACAGCAACTAATGAGTAAAGTGTAAAATAAATGTGTCTCTATCAATGAAATCTAGGAGTTACTTACCACCTGCTGAATTCGACTGAACATTCGTTTGCGTTTGAAAGGCATTGGGATTGAGGCCCCTTGTGTTGGGGTAACTTACAGCTGATAGTTGCTGTTGGAAAATGGGGTTAGAAGCGAAGTTCAACTGGTTCGCTGCCATTTGCTGTAACCCGAGCCCCAAGTTCTGCTGGTTCAGCCCCAAATTCTGCTGATTGAGCCCCATATTTTGAAACACTTGCTGCTGGGGCTGAAATGGCACCATGCCCGAATGGTTCAGATTGCTCATAGACCCCATTTGGTTGGCGCCTTGTGGATGCTTTCCGCCCCAAACGTTATTCTTATTATTGTAGCTCATTATTGTTTCTGGTCCGGAATCGGTAAGAAAATAATGTTAACTGGATAAACACGCTTGCAATATCGATTTAAAATTAAACATCAAAAATCAAACACCGCCATATTTGACGAACTATTTACGTCAACCAACTTCCACACTTCTCTCTGGGAATAGCTACACAACGTTGCCTAAGTTGGGGCTCTAACATATAGAAATTAAAATAAGTTATTTCACTTACTCTATGGTCTTTAAACACTTCTTCATCGATAAGTCCTGTAAGGTAAAGCAACTAAATCAATTTAAATAAAAGTTGTATTAAAAAAATCGTCAAATCCCCAATTTTAATAGGATATCTCTCGAAACTTGGCACTGCCACAGAGGCCCTAGTTATATTAATTATTAGTAGTTTTATTGATTAAAAAATTACTACTTTATTAAAAAACTGTATAAATTATAAACATTGTTCCTAAAGTTATTTTTACCAAAATGCATTATAAAAAGGCCTCCATTTAATCAGAGTTATCGTTTTTACATCAGAAGCGTCCAAAGAACAAGCAGTCAATTGTTTAATGGCGGACGAAAAGACCGTGTTCTGAGAAAATTTCAAAAAAACCGATAGTGTTTTGATTTTTCTATGGATAGTTGCTGTTTTTCTTTAGCTCGAAGTTTTCCTTTATCGCTTTGTGGTATTTTCGGGCCCGGAAGCGCGAGTTTTGCAAAGAATCGCGGTTTTTTTAGATGGAGTTTTTCTGACGTTTACTGACAAACTTCGCCTGACTGAAAACTTACAAATGTAGAGTTTCTGGAATATTTCCTTATGCTTTTGAAAACTTAGAATTATGCTCGTAAAATATTAGGATAGCTGAAAAAAGTGATTTATTTTTAAACTTTGATTTCTTTAAGTTTCACGCGATATACACATATACAGGGTGGCTCACTTTTCAGTCTGGAAAATAATAAAGTGGACAAAAATTAAGTATAAAAGTTTATAGAGGGCGTCTCAGAAGTAAGTACCTACCGTAAATTCAGGGGTAAATGTACACCTTGCCTAAATATAAAAAAATCCAAATTCTTGGATATTTTTGTCCTCAAAAGCTCCGTTTTCGGAATACAGGGCCTCAGAAGTTACTTTGAAAAATACAAAATTATAAATTACTGCAAAACGGTTTGACTATGACTACATCAGTATCTACCGCTTAACTGATATAAAATTTATTTTGTCTATCCAAATCAATAACTTGTGTATTAAAAACGAAGTCAGAACTTTTTTGAGACACCGTTGTTCCTATCACTGCTTATTTTTTTTTCAGACAAAATAAAATTTATAATTTGAACACTGTATTACGACAAGAAAGCATTAGCAGACTCATGTTTATATGAACTTTTCTACTAATTTTTACGTCACCTATTTCATTTGGCCGATGAAAATTGTGGTCACTCGGCATATTTATTTTTGCGTTTGCCCCTTTATTAGAACCTCAGATTAAATATATGTCTTTGATTAAACCGTTTTCCTATGAATGCGATAACCATATTAGCGCTTCAGCCTTTGCAATTACAGGGAGAAAACACCACAACCCTTTGGTTATGTCTGCACAGTTACATTCGGTAACGCATTGCTTAAATAAACAAATATACATTTTGCATGTAACATCAAACAAATATTTGTATTTAAAAAATTAAAAATTTATTTTTCACAAACATTCCGTATACAAACTATATTACTAATTGAATACATTTTGATTTGCTGCCCTTCGATTCGTGATTTAAGCACAGCCTTTGCACAGTTGTGGACTAAAATAAATAAGGAATTACTGTCGAGAAAGTTGAGCATTTGCCATTTTTCTCTACAGTAAAACTGTAACAAAAATTGCATAAAAACAAGGTGAATACAATGTCGGTCTAAACTAAACGAGTTATAGCTGCCAGCAGAAGTGCCACAAAGATGGGAAGAGCGACTGGGAGTGCACTGGAGCTGACAGTTTGCCCAGTCTGAGATCGTTTCAGCAGCTCTTGATAGTTGCTGATGTATTTGTTTGATCCGCCGCTTATGGTTATACCTGGAGTGGAATCCTGAAAAAAAAACATTGTATTCAGACAACGTTAGTTCTTCAGCCAATGATACTCACAGGAAACAGTAGGTTCCTGGTATGGTTAAATCGGTCGAAGACTTTGAAGGACTTTTCGAGGCGGGAGCCGAATTCAACTTCCATTTCCCTGAGATAGAGCACAGTGTCGTTGTATGTGTGTGTGGCTGTGGTGACGGACGACGCATTTCCAAACACAAGTTCACCCGATATGATAATGATTATCGGCGCTTCTTCGTCTACATTAAAACCAGCGTAGGCAGCCAAAGATCCATTTTTGCTGATGATTCTAAACTGCTCCTGCTCAGTTGCATTGGCAAGATAGTCCCCGGGCAAGTCTAAATTCAGTCAAATTCTTTCCAGGGCACTGGCAAACGCAAGAATTTATCTACTTACCGTTTAGTGAAACCACCGCATAATCGCCATTGTTCTCCCGCAGACACAACAATGCTCCTGAGCTCTGGAAGTATTTATTTAAACTATCGGCGTTGCAGTACTTTGCAGCTGAAAAAAGCAAACATCAAGTAACCCGATGCAGAAAAATTAAAGGGATGAAAACTAACTTTTCGTAGCGTCTACAGGGTAGCACCTGTCGCACAGATTTTCGCCATCAGTGTTCGGAATGTCGATGTCTTTGTCTTTGGCTCCAGGAGCGCACGATTCGCCTACAAACTGACTAAAAACACTTCCGTAATCGGACGTATCGTTAATGAGACTGTTGTTGCGAAGTAGATCGACAAAAGCGAGCCATTCTGGAATTGATCACGGGGTTGAAGTCGGCCAATGAGTTAGTTTGGACAAATACGCACCTTTTCCTCCATATTCGGGAATACAGGCGTGCTTTCCAGCCAGGCTGGATAGGCGGCCGTCGTACCAGGTCGAGTCGTTTCTTACAACGATGGAAATCTTCGATAATTGTCTGGTGTCGGTTTCCGGGTATCCTACGTTGATCAATTGCTTCCTGAAGACATTCGTTTGAAACACGATGGGCAAATAACACTAAACCAGTTACCTTCTAGCAATGTATCCGAAATTGGCGTCAATATAAGCGATGCCCGCTTTCAAATTCCTGATGTTGTCCAAGTTCGAAACGGAGTCGTTGTCGACACTCTGAACGCAACTGATGAGAGGCAGCAAGCCGTGAGTCAAACTCGCTTGTCGCAGCCACGTGCATTTGGATCGTTCCGGGTCGTTTATCACTGACCACATTATTGAAGCATTGCATTTATCTGCTTCTGGATCATCAGCATTAGGAACAACTCGTCGCTCTAAAAAAGCTCACATTCAATCCCCCACACCTTCATCTAACTCGCGCTGTTACCAGCAACGTAGGAACTCAGAGGCGTAGCCGCAATTACATTAATCTTATCTAATCTACCAAGCTGCAATAGGGAAGCTAAATGTTGTTCCAGGGAATATGGAGTACCACCCTCCGGGTTGACGAACGAAGCGAGTTTCGTCTGAAGATAAGTCTGCATGTCCGAAGCACTTGAACTAAAATTTGGCTCAGTTACGAAGCTTCCTTGGAAGTGAAAAAACTAGACTTGCCTTGAGGTGACGAATAATCTGGACAATTGCTTGGTCCACACACAGGGATTAGTCGAAGAAGCCAAACTTCCATTAGGACAGAGGTATTGATAGTTCTGGGCGTTGGAGCCGATGCTGAAGAAAGTCTCAGCATAGGACAGAGCTGATAAGGCCAAATCCGCATCATTATTCGTTAGACAAGTCAAGGAGTCGTTCAATGGCACCCGATAGTTAGTGCTGCAGCCGGCCGAGCCACACAGGTCACACAGCGATGGATACGTGCTTTCTACACGGAAAAATCAGGAAACTTTTGAAGAGCACAATTCACACTGACTTACTCAAATAGGCGTCAAATTGCTGATCTTCCGTCCATTTTCCCGGCCTGCACGAACTGCCAAAGAAAGAGGCGAGCGCCTGAAATTTCTGCTCGGTGAGTGTTTGATTGGCGCTGCAGTTCAAGCTAACGGCCTTCCAGTCCAGCTCCTCCAACACCCATTTAGTGATGCGTTCGTCATGGTTGTAGCCAGGATGGCAGTATTTGAGGCCTTTTAATTGGTCGCTCACTCCTCCTAGGTAGCCCCACTTTACGATTACCACCGTTTGGTAGGGAGCGTTTTCTGAAAAGTTTCACTTACTTTGAAAACATTTGCTTTCTTGAGAAAGCAAATGTCGTATGGACAACTCGCGCAGACACTGTCTAACTCTAGGAAAAGCTCGATCAACCAACTTCACTTCAATAAGCACATTTTTTCCATATTTTTCGAGACACTTCAGCAGGTGTTAGAAAAGTGGCTCTACAACTTAGATGATCACGGAATATCACTGAAGATATTGCGGTTTACGATGGCGATTCTGGATTAGACGCCATGAAGATAATTTTACATGGAACACAGAAGAATATAGAACTATAGAATTAAAAAAATTTTCACAGCAGAAGGAAAAAGCCTGGAGAAAGATGCAAATACGAATTCGTAAAAGTAAAAATGTAAGATTGAAAATTTAGTGATTGTTGCCTCACAAATGTGAGCAGGAGAAAAGCTCCTTGTTTAACCAAGAGCTCTCAAAAGCAATTTTGTTGCCACTGGCGATCAGCAACATTGATGCTGAAATTTTAATATTCCTACTTGAACAAAAGTGATCAAATAAATTCGCACGAAAAATGTTTCCGATTTTTTTTAAAGCGTTCTAATGTAATTGTTTACCATACATGAGCTGCAAGTCAGATAAGATACAGAAGATCGTATACGATACGATATTTAAGGTATACCTTAAAACTTGAAAACGTGAGTTTGAAATACCAAGAGGGACGTTCAAAAAGGTCTAAACGACATAATTGAATATTTCGAGTCCTATCTGACATTCCTACAGGGAAATTGGTGACAGGGTATTCTAAACCTCTAGAGCTACAAAATGTTGATAAGTTTGCTTCTCTCTGTTTAGAGGTTGGAAATGGCTAAGAAGTGTAGTTTAATATAAGAAAAACTGCGCTCTGAAGTGTGCAGTTTCAACTCAGCATCACAGACTCAAACAGATTTTTTTTTAATTAAATAACCACATGTGGAGCTACCTTCCACCACTTCAGCTATAACTGTGGTAGTGTTTGTGACTAAACCAGCCGCTAAGAATGCGTCCTCGGAATTAAGAAGAGTCAAAGTGGGCAGGTTTTGTTCGATGTCCAGAACACAGTCAACCCTGAAATACCAATAAATATTTAATTGAAACACTGACGATTGGGTTCGATCTTCTTGACCACCCCGATTCCCAGACTTGACATCAGTATATTAAGCGCCTTTTCAAGCGATGACCTAATATCCGACCAAAGACTTCTGGGAGTTAAAATTACATGTCTGGACATGCGATCACTGACCTGGACGTTACATATTGGCAATTCATGTCCTGGTCTCTGGCTACTTGCTGGCAAGCATCGCTATTGAAGCTTTCAATGCAAAGTTTATCTGAAACAACACATGTATATGCAGGTGTTTGATCTTGATGAGTAAAAATTAAAATTATTCACGTCATAGGGTTTTAGGAAGCTTAGGTATAATTAATTAAATAGATGCTCATTCCTCCTTATCGGATTGTCTCTTGACCTTACATACGCACTGCATTCGCAATTAGTCAACATTTGCTAATGTTGTGCAATTGTTGCAACATACTATAATAATATTGTAATTTCCAGCAAAACCTGCTAAGATCGCCAATAAATTTTTAGCACATTTTCATGTTTTTCCTTTAAGCTTGCTTATACCTACATTGGATTCCAATGTTTAATCAGTTCTTATCGGGAACCTTGAAATCAATGTGTAAGGCTTAATAATATGTACACAGCTACTGATAATGATTTACGCGAATTATCCCCTATGACGGATATTTGAAGGTAGAATTTACACACCGGTTATCAAAGCCCAGAATTCGCGTGTTTTGAGCTCTGGAAAAGCGATTTGCGTTTGGTCCTTCGAGCCGGATTGCGTTAACATTGCGTATTAGTTTGACAGGTTTAAAAGGACTTTATGATCCAAAGTTGGCGACAGATTTTAAAATCAATCTAGTTCAAACCTGCACAATATGTCGCAACATCTGAAGGACAACCAGTGGCCTACATGGCAATGTTGGTAAACAAATGAAATGGCTTTAATGGAAATAAATAATGACCTCCTAACCATTTTTGCTGTGTTTACCGCTGTTTATTCGCAATAAATCAAGGTTGCTTAAAGCGATTAAATCAGCTGAACCAGAAATATGTTCCAATAGATGGTAAACTTACCTGCATGAATAAAGGACACTCGTATTGTCCAGATCCATAAGACTAAACACACGCGAAATACTTCCATTTTAACTTTTATTCCCATTAAGTCATTACTGTTTGATGAGTAATTAATGAATGGCCGCTGGCTAATTGAATGAAAGTAAAGGCAAATTCAGCAATTTTTTACAATGTACAAACATAACCTCAACACTGGTTACCTTCAGCGACTCGCAAGAACATTTAAGCAAATGCGCTACACTTTGCCGCGTTTCTAACTGCGGCATATCTATTTCATGTTGCAACCTGTTGAATGAATATGCAGTGCGATTCCGAAAAAACTCAGAATTCTGAAAATTTTTATGCAAGTAGTAGTAATTTGATTTTGAATTATTAGTAGTATTTTAAAAACAGTCGAAAGTGAAGAGTGGAAAATTCACTACCTATTAGAAGTAAATGTGGCGATTATCCGCCTCGCCTCTTGCGAATTAAAAAGTATTTATTTTTCCCCGTGCAGCATCAGCATAATGTAAGATGTTAAGCGGGCAAACTAAGAGGAATTGGCCTGTTTCCTTGGGTATTAGAGAATTGAGCACAAGTGGCTGAAAACCGCATTTTTTCAAGAAACTCCACCAAGAAAAGTTGTTATTTAAAGGATTATTCTTAAGTTATCAATACATGATTCAATGAATTATCTTTATATTCTTGCGTTAATAGAATTCTTAGTTCCAAGTTTTCACAAAAGTCGTTACAAGACTTTTTGTGTTCTCAAACCTAATTGATTGGTGTAGAAAAACTGATTGTTCAGTATCATTTTTATTCGAATGAATATAAAAGTGCCATTTTTCGATCAGAAGCGGTGATCAAAAAGAAGCACTTTTCTTTACAGTTCATTTGTTTTACTTTCACGCACGGACTTTTACGTAGGTACATGTGCGCAAAAGTAAATGTGACAAATTGAAAGTGTCACTGCCATAATAGTAGTTTTCGATACAAGGGCGAAAAACGGATTTTTGCCCTCGTATCGAACAATATTTTTTATTCGAATAAAGGACATAACAAGAATAATAAGTTATAATAAGTAAAAATTGCCAAAAATAAAAACCGTCAACTCCATGTTTAAAATTTGATGTCAATGCCATTTTTGGTTGTTGTCCAAAAGTTGTCATGTTTAGACGTTTGTAATTTTTCAAAAGCGTACTTTTGTAAGCATATACAAGTGAAACAATGTGTGTTGAAAATTCAAGTGCTGCTTTAACGGTATGGTGTTTGTATACGATGGATATTTTGTATAAAATTTGCGCTCTTTAAAAAAATCGTGTTTTGCTTGTGGCAACATCGGCGAGCGCAGAAAAATAGACCATTTGAACGACTTTGAGACTGAATTTGTAACAAAGTTATAATTTAGAAATGATAAGTAACTTTTTGATTTTCATTGAAAAGTAACTGACATGATTGTTTGACGTAAGTTTATCGATCAAAATTTAGTTTACTTCCAATTTGTAAATTATAACTTTGTTACGAGTTCAGGCCCAAAGGTGTTCTAATGGTCTATTTTTCTGCGCTCGCCGATGTTGCCACAAGCAGAACACGATTTTTTTTTAATAACGCAATTTCATACAAAATATGCACCTTATACATCCACCATCCATCTTTGTACACCATACTGGGAAAGCAGCACTTGAATTTTCAACATTCAATTTCAACAACTCATTGTTTCACTTGTATATGCTTACAAGAGTACTCTTTTGTAAAATAACAAACGTCAAAACGTGACAATTTCAAAAATGGCATTGACATCAAATTTAAAATATGACTGACGTTTTTTTGTTTTTGTCAATTTTATTTGTTATAACTTATGATCCGTGTTATGTGTTTCATTCGAATAAAAAACGTTGTTCGATTTGTGTAGAAACTAGCAGTTGCAATCGTGAATTTTGAAAATTTCTAACTGTTTCTGATGATTTTCTGAAATATTTTAGGTAGGCATCAGCTCCAAAGTCCAATTAGTGAGTTTTGGCTTTATAATGACGAATATAATCTACATAACGAGTAAACAGTGCAAAATCTAAAAAAAATTTAATGTGAACGTAGCTAGTTGATTGGTTCGCAACTGCTGATGAGATCAGATGAGATTAATAGTGAAAGAAGAACGTTCTTGTTCTTTCTTGGCGCTTTATGCTTTAGTCACTGGTGAAAAGACTTTTGCGAGAAATCACTTTTTACCATACATTTTCAACAGTAAAACTGATAAAAGCGTCTATGAGCAGGGACAATTATTTTCACTAAAACAATTATATTTCCGGCAGTCAAACTTCAAAACTGGTAAACAATGTTCACTGCAGAGGCATTTAGAACAGCAATAAAACAACGTTCTGCCGGGCATAATTTTTCACTTTTTGGTGGTAAAACTCGAAATTTTGGAGCCAAAACTGACAATTATTAGCACTAAATCTGGATTTCCTCCACTTTTGGTTTGATTGACAAAGGATTGCCAATATAACAGCATTTAGAATAGAAAAAAAATGTATTTATAAAAAGAAACATTAACAATTTAGTGGGAATAATTGAAACGTTTTAGTTCAGAAACAGAACTTCTAAGCTTTTGAATAAGGTGGAAGTTTCGAACGATAATTTCAAAACAGTCAGTCATTGTGTGAGATCAAAACATTTATTCCATGGAATTTAAGCTCACTGGCAGTCACTGGCAAATTTCAATGAAATCAAATTTATTTGGTATTTTTGTGGAAATAAACCATATTTAATGCGAACTATTGTTACTTTTGGGAAACAAACAAATCTTGAAAATTTTGCAATCTTGCGATTCGGTTTTTGCTGGATGTACCAAAAATATCAATTTTGCGTGAAAATTACAAATGCGACTACTTTTGCCACCAAAAAGCATAATTATTTCCTCAAAATTTTCGTTTCTATCAGTTTTGTCAGCAAAACTTGAAATCTAGTGCAGATAGAGCAGCAAAAATTGCTGCTTTGTTTTAGAGGGAGTATTTGCCTTGAAAGAATATATTTTAATGATTCGGGCTGTAGTCAATTTAAGAGAAAAACCTGTTTTAAATGCAGTTTTAACAGTAAAATTAATTTGCTAATGTTACAATGTTTTTTTTTAACGGAAATGGCAATTATTCGCACTAAATCTTCAAGTCAACTCCTAAAAACAAGCAAACCATTTCCAATCTAAGTGAGTTTAGAGCAGAAAAACTGTATATTTTTAAGAAGGAACCAACGATTTATTCGATTTATTAAACCTGATTCAGCTGAACAAAAGCAACAAAAACGTCGTTGGAAAAACAGTAATTTTGAAAAAAATCATTCCTTTTCAACTCGTTTGCGGCATTTTCTGATTATTTCACCACTCATTCCCTTGAGTTGGTTTAGTGCGAGATAAAGATAAGAGTGATTATTAAGAATTGAATCATCTGCTTTTCGAAGTAGCCGAAATTTTCCGGTGATAAATCGCAACTTTATTCAATTGCACACAAACAATCATTATTCCTTCGGCAATTTGATTCATTATATTTTACTTGACTGAATTAATTGAGGAATTAATTAATGTTGATTAAATTCGCCAAATATCTGAAGTCAATCAATATGAACATTGAAAATGGTACGAATTTCTCAGTCAGAAACTGATTGGTTTTTTTTCTTAATTACAAAAATTATTGAAGGTATTATATACATTTCTGGAAATTTTTGCTACTAAAGAATGAGTTGAATCAATATATGAGGTTGGTCAGCTTCCATTTGATAAAAATACATGAAAAAAGCTATGGCCTGAAGTCAGACCTTTAAGAAGTTACATCCGTTGTTTCAATTTGATTAATAATGTTTGGCTTCAATCTGTATTAAAAATTAAAAAAAAAAAAATGGGAATCTGTTAGTAAAAGAACCGCGATTCTTCTTAATTGCACATAAACAATAAACAGCCACTCCTATCACTTCCGTTAAGTCCATTGCAGTTCTCGCTTTAAATTCAAAAACTAGTTTTTTTATAAGGTTTGCTTTTCCTCTTAACTTTTTAGCTTAACTTAAAATCAATGTAATCCACTTGTAGAAGTCAGGATTTAAATGGCAAAATTTCCTAAAAAAATTGCATGTATAATAAAAAAATTGTATATAAAAAAAATGTTAAGTCGCATACATCTAATTTGCAAGTACACTTGGTGTGCGCCTTCGAGTTGATAAATGATTCATCTTCTAGGAATCACTCATCTACGCGTTAAGAGACTGTTTTTCACTGCAATTATCGGGAAGTTTCGATGCGTTTGAATACAAATTTTAACAAATCCCAATCAGAACTTTATCGAATTTGTGCTTGAAGAAAAGATGCGAGCCTGAGTAAACTAGGGCATGTTTAATAACGGTTGTTTATTTACAAATGACGTACTAGAATGTTCTATATGAAACTGAGGATGTACGTTTTCAAGATATCATTAGAAACGTTGCGCTGATAGAGTATTGGAGCAACTAAACCTATTCCAGAAAAAAAATTCTTTGAGTGTCTACCTCAAATGCTAACGAAAAAACGTCCATTCTTCTTAATTATTTAACTAATCGAGAATTTTCTCAAACAGGCGCGGCTTTAAAGTGTAAGTCTGACTCATTTTGAAGATTAGAAACACCGCTAATTACCAAAAATTAATCTAGCGACTTACTTGGAGTTACTTGCGCACTCGAACAGCCGAAACAAATGGCCAAACTGGCCCAAATTAACCACTCCATTTTCACGTTGTAGCTGACTGGAACTACTGTAGCTGACCTAGACTGATTGAGTACAAAACTTGAAATAAACTGCAAGAATAGACTATGAATTGGGTGTAATGGCAATGATTTGAGAGATAAGATAAGATAATAGGAAGGTTGGAGAGTGATATGATAATATGGGTTTTTGGGCTATTCTGCTATATTTAGGAAAAATAATTTTTTACATGAAGTTTTTAGGGTTTTTAGTATGTAAGTCCGATGTGTATTTACCAACTTTGTGGAACAACTGTGGGGCTAATTGCAATGGTGAGAAGAGAAGATTGTTCTCTTTTGAGTCTTTTGAGTTGCTGCTTATCAACCCGAGATTAGATAAGTAAGGAATAAAAATATTACAAATTAGACAGTATTTTTCAATTTATCTTTTCACTCACCCCATTTTATCGTCGAATCAGAAGCTCAATAGTTCAAATCATCAATAGTTCTGAAACAAAAAAGCCACTTAATAGCCTGACTTGCACTCTGATAGGTTTTTTAGAATTTTTCAAAACTCAACTATACGGAGCATTTTCCCATCAGTTTACCCGTTTCATAAGTCAATTTTCAGATGATTCTCACAGAACAACTAGACCAGTTGGAAGATTTCTTTTCGGCTCTTTTAATAGAGGATGACTTAATTTATAGAAGCAGGAGACAATCAAGTCCTCCTACTTTAATATTTTTTTTTATGAATTTTTCAAATCTCAACTACACGAGATATTTTTCCATTAGTTTAAGTTTATTTTCTTAGTCAATCTTCAAATGCTTCTCCCAGAACAACTAGACTAGTTGGAAGATTTCGTTTCGGTTCGTTTAATAGAGGAGGACTTTTTTTTTATAGAGACAGAAGTCAGTCAAGTCCGTCCCCGACTTTACCAGTTCTTTAGGAATTTTTCAAACCTCAACTAGACGCTATATTTCTCCATCGGTTTAAACTTGTTTTATGGGTCAATCTTCAGATGCTTCTGACAGAACAACTAGACTAGTGGGCAGATTTCTTTTTGACTCGTTTAATAGAGGAGGATTTTATTTATAGAGGCAGAAGACAAGCAAGTCCATCTCCTATTTTCATGTCCTTTAGGAATTTTTTAAACCTCAACTATACGCGACACTTTCCATTAGTTCAAACTTGTCTGACGGGTCAATCTTCATATGCTTCTGACAGAGCATCTAGACACGTTGGAAGATTTCTTTTCGGCTCCTTTAATAGAGGAGGACTTTATTTATAGAGGCAGAAGACAACCAAGTCCATCTCCTATTTTGGTGTCCTGTAGCAATTTTTCAAACCTCAACTACACACGACATTTTCCATTAGTTCAAACTTGTCTGACGGGTCAATCTTCATATGTTTCTGACAGAGCATCTCGACCAGTTGGAGGATTTATTTTCAGCTCCTTTAATAGAGGACGACTTTATTTAGAGAGTGTCTTCTTCCTCCTTCTCCATGGATTAAGTCCTCCTTCTCCATGGATGTTTTTTTAGGAATTTTTCAAAACTCAACTACACGCGACCTCTTCAACTTAGCCAGTTGGAGGATTTCTTTTCAGCTCAACCGGCAAGGACACAATCTGTATATAGAGGCAGAAAGCAACAAAATCATTGAATTTTCGGAACTGTCTGTGTTGTTTTGATTTCAGTTCAAACAGGTTTTCATTAGGCGATCTTCAAAACATTTATTCTCAACATATTTTGAAAGAGCAAAACTTTGCTTATAGAAGCGGAGAATCAAATGTGTTTTTGCTTTGGAGTTTTTTTTTTAATTCAGTTATATTGTTATATGCAGTTTCGGTTCGTGATCTCGAAGTATTTCACGGATTATACACTGCTCACTTCGACACTTACTCGGCTTTTTCTAATTTAGAATTTTATGATCTGGGAAATACTTGTACGGAATTATTATTATTATTATTATTAGCATGTAGCCTTTGATGCCGAAGTGAAGTTTACAGTGAATAAGTTCACATGCATACTTAACTTAACTTAACTTAATTAATATATTGATGCCTAAATGTTCCAGACATTTGTATGCATCATCCAAATGAAAATGATTTCCAAGAATTACGGCATGCGCCCTAAGTTTTAATTTAATTGAAATATACCTAAAACTAATTTAATTTATTTAATTTAAACGAAAAGAAAGATACATGAAATAACCAAAACAAAACTCTACTAAGTTTACTAAGTTTACTTAAATTAATTTTACCATCACCCAGAAGCAACATCCCCAAAAACCACTAAAAAAAATAAAATTTGTCTATATTTTGAAAAATAAATTTTCTGCTGCCCTTACTAAAATTTCTAATATTATTCACCCCTTTCAAGTTATTCGGTAGGACATTATAGAATTTAGGAACCAAATAATCCAATTTTTTTTTAATGCTTGGCACTTTCAGGTGTTTGTTCACTCTATTCCTGGTCCCATGAGTGTGACTAACATAAGTTTTGAAGTTATTTGATTTATGGATATAAATACATGTAGACAAAACGTATATCGAGCGCAGATTGAAYACCTCCTCAGAATAGAGCTGCTGAGTTGGGAATCTTTTTTGCTTYCTATATATAACTCTTAAAATAAAGTTCTGTACTACATTAAGTTGMATTAATGAWTTTTTATATAGACCTCCCCAGACAATGACYCCGTACCGTAGCAAAGATTCAACCAATGACCGATAGATTAGAATCAACAGTTTTTTGTTCAAAAGGTTCCTTAAAATGTAGAAACGATATATTAGTTTGCGAATATTATCTGTTAACTTCAGGATGTGTTGGTCCCATTTCAAGTGCCTGTCAATGATAAAACCCAAATACTTGGTGAATTGAGCCTCTTTGATGTCGTTTGACTCAAGTGTAATTTGGTTAAAAGCAGGAAGATTGGCAGTTGTGATGGAAAATGCAATGTAATTTGTTTTTTGCATATTTAGACTTAATTTAAAAGAATGCAGCCAGTGTTTAAGTAATTCCAGTCCTAGTTCTGCTGCCCTTCTTGTATCTTCCCAAGAACATCCATAAAACACCGCTACTGTATCATTTGCATATGAAATTAATGAACCATTCTGTATGTCAATATTAGTAAGAGTCTTAATGTAGGATATGAAGAGTATAGGACCAATTACTGTACCCTGAGGTATTCCAATTTTTATATAACAAGGTTCACTAAATTCATTATTTATTTTTAGAACTTACTCTCTGTCCCTTAGGCAACTCTCAAAAAGGTGCAACACTGGACCCCTAATACCATACAAGCTTAAAACCTCTAACAAGCGGTCATGCGGCACGGTGTCAAAAGCCCTGGCCAGGTCGAAGAACACTGCCAAACACTTTGGTTTGGAATTGGTTTAAACCTTTCAAAAATTTAGGATATTTTTCCATGTAGTTTAACTTGTGCGTCTAACAGAACAAGTTGTGCAATTATTCCAGGATATTTCTTGCCAGAAGAGGAAAACTTTGTTTATGGAGACAAAAACCAATCAAATCCCTGTTTTACTTTGATGGTTTTTTCGGGATTTTTCGACATTCAATTTATTTGAGGGCGATTTGGCAATTGTGGCCTTCTTATTGTTCGAAGAACTGTGGGGAGTTTCGTAAGCAAATTAAATGGTTTTGACATCAAAAGCTTAAATATGCATTTTTCAATTGGACAAGTTTGGTTTCGATGATATTTCCTTTAAGCTTCTCCCGTATTTTAATGTTTTTAAAGGAATTTTATTTTGGCTCCAGCTCGGTTTTCCCATAAAGACAGAAGGAAGTTAATTGGTATATACACGGTGATATTTTGAAAGAGAGCCAGTTATTTTTTGGTTTCTTCAACAAGTATTTAACAGCTAAAAGAAAGAAACCGAGTGTTCGTGTTAGATTTCCCAATCTTAATAAACCTACGTACAATTGATATGGGAAACCTTCTTGGGAAACATACCAGGGACGCTAAAAATTCTGATGGGCTGAATCTTTTTTTAGGGAACTTTGAGGAAATGCAGGAACTTTTTCCTGAAACTGCATGGTATTTGACAGAAAAACTTTGTCTAGAACGGTTTTGAAAAAGTCAATAGTTTTGGAATAATTTTCGAACTTGGCTTGAAACCTATTGACTTTTTCAAAAAGTCTCAAGAGAAACTTTTTGAACTAAACACCTTGTAGTTTCAGTAAAAGCACCCGCGCAGGCCTTAAAGTTGCCCTATAAAAAGATTCGGCATGTCAAAGTTCCTGAACTTCTGGAGAAGAAAGTTCAGTTTTACTTGAAGAAGCTACCAGTTAACACCTTGGAACCAGAAGGAATTTTGAATTTCTCCAACTTGAACTAATAGATCAGAAACCGGTACCGGAGCTCTTACTCAAAAAGATGTACTTGTACCACGTTCTTAGGCTAAAAAAGTTATTAAATAAATAAGAAAAAACCCTGAGATTGAATGACACCACTCAGGTAAGGTGAGTCAAGTGTCTTTTAGTAGCAGCATGTTAATGAGTGCAAACGTTCTAGGCAAGATCAATTTGGTTTAATTAACATTATGTTCTTACGCTATTGGTAAACACCACACGTTAATGATTACTATTTCCTGGAATGTGATTAATAACAAGTATTTAAACAATAAATCGTTCTAAAAGAAGTTATCGCTTGTTTGCGGTTTGTCTGAATTAATTGACCGTGTTGTCACCACGAGAAAGAGAAAACATTATTATTTTACATAACAAATTTGATATCACTTGAGTAGTTCGCCTCCGCCAAACACAGCATCCGAACAAGTGAGTTTTAACACAGCTTTTTCTTATGCTGATTCTTGGCTTTAAATGACGCTCTTTTGAGTTACAGGCCTTCCTTTGTATGAGATTTTTAAAAATTTCCTCTGCAAATCGGATTGCGATAAAACTGTAGCAAAAGTCCAAGCAAACAGCTAAGGAAACTTTACGTTAAATTAACAGTGCGCGTCTAAAAATGCCCTGACTGGTCGTTTTTCGCTCGATAGGAATTACGAAAGTTCCCAATCAGCTTTAAACAATTAAAATTGACTTCTAGACGTGCACAAGCAACGCGATACCCGAGAAGAAATAACGATGTGGAAGTTTATTGCAGTGGCGGTCGCAATTTTCGTTGTCCAGATCGCTGGACAGCAAAGAAGTTACAACCAGAGCCAGTCTTCTGGTCGAAATGGATCTTCAGTTGGAGTGTGCATTTTGGAAGTTCCGTGAGTACTTTTTCGCCTTGGAGCGTTCCTTTGTTAGTAAGTAAGTAGGTATTTTGAGTGTGCCGTTGCAGTATTTCAGTTAAAATTATTTGAAGACTGGACGGGATAATATAAGTAATATAACCCTCCTAAAAGTTGAATTAAAAAAAAATCCTAAAAACCACCAAAGTAGCAGATGTGCTTGGTTGTATTCTGCCGCTATAAAGAAAGTTTTCCTCTATCAAAATAGCTAAAAAGAACTCTACTTCTAAAGAACTAGAAGAATTTATCTGGTTTTTCTGTCCGCAGAATTTGAAAGTTGACCCATAAAACAAGTTTAAACTCATGGAAAAATATTTCGTCTAGTTGAGGTTTGAAAATTCCTAAAGGACACCAAAATAGGAGATGGACTTGGTTGTCTTCTGTCTCTATAAATAAAGTCCTCCTCTATTAAATGAGCCGAAAAGAAATCTTCCAACTGGTCTAGTTGTTCTGTCAGAAGCATCTGATCATTGACCCATCAGACAAGTTTGAATTGATGGAATATGTCGCGTGTAGTTGAGGTGTGAAAAATTCCTAAAGGACACCAAAATAGGAGATGGACTTGGTTGTCTTCTGCCTTTATAAATAAAGTCCTCCTCTAGTAAAGGAGCCGAAAAGAAATCTTCCAACTGGTTTAGTTGTCCTGTCAGAAGCATCTGAAGATTGACCCATTAGACAAGTTTGAACTGATGGAAGATGTCGCGTGTAGTTGAGGTTTGAAAAATTCCTAAAGGACACCAAAATAGGAGATGCACTTGGTTGTCTTCTGCCTTTATAAATAAAATCCTCCTCTAGTTAAGAAGCCGAAAATAAATCTTCCAACTGGTCTAGTTGTTCTGTCAGAAGCATCTGAAGATTGGCCCATGAAACGAGTAAACTGATGGAAAAATGTCCCGTGTAGTTGAGTTTTGAGAAATTTCTAAAAAAACACCAAATAAGAAGACGGTTTTGATTGTTTTCTGCTTCCATAACTGGCTCATAAAACCTACATTGGAGTTAATAGACTCGAAACAGGTCCTGGGGGTGCCTGAGATGTTTACCTACTTACACCCGAGAAAGTTGATCGCTCTGATGATGCCAGTAGATTCGGTTTCGTCTTAAAATCCCTTGTAAGTTAATTCCCCTGTCACTAACAAATTCGGTTCTTGGAACGACAAATGGCGCACAATGTAAATGTAGTCCATACCATATTGAAGCTGATTCTGTTAAGTGCTTTGTTTTCCATTACAATTTTTAATCAATTTGGACCCCTTGTTTTAGAACGATCGACATTATAGCTCCTGAAGATCGACGCGGTGAGCTTCCCCGAGGAAATGGGGTGAGTTTCTGGATAAACTGAAAAAAACCATCTAATTTTGTTATATGATTGGCTGATTTTATTATGTTTTTCTGCTTGTCTAGTCTCGGGCTGATTTGACTAGGATCGAAATCTGCTGTTCTGGATATGAAAGAGTGCCACATACTTTCCTGCATTGTCGGCCTATTTGCGATAACGGCTGCGAAAACGGAAATTGTACTGCCCCCAATGTTTGTAACTGTAATCGAGGATATATTAAGGTTTGTACATGTAATATTTTAGCAAATGTAATCAGAAATTGCTCAATTTGGTCAACTTTTGAGTCTCGGCAAGTGATCGATCGATTTAATTCCTACTGATTGCAAGGTGGCCTCACTTCGGGAGAATTAAAATCGAAATTTATAGACTAGTTTCTGTTTAAAACCTGTACGTACTAGTGTAAGAGCAAAACTTTTGATTAATCTGTATAAATAAGTATTAGTTTCTCAAACTCTCAGTCTATGGAAAAAAAGTTTTAAAAGTTTGCTTCAGAATGCAAGGAAAACTTATAAGCAATTTGCGAATTTGCACAAAACATCAACACATATGCCTTGTGCTTGCCATGAACTTTTTCTAGGAAACATTCAGTATGCAATAAAAAATAATTCCAGAGTCGGTTCCGTACAATCTTTTTGCTTCATTTTAAAGATAAACCTGATAAACGTGCTTCTATTGGGCTCTATATTCCATAAGTTAAGAACTTGCCCTTCTTCGAAAAAAAAATCGTTCTGTAGTTACTAATTGCCTAACGAGAAGAGAGCCAACACAGCATCAATATTTATAGAAAAACAGAGCTTGCGTCCAAATTCCTGCTGTATCGAATGTACATTTCATATATGTACCAATGAAAAGGTCACAGAAAGTTTCTAACTCGGCATCTTTCAGATCCACTTTATAGACGAGTTAGTTTCTCACTGTAGATTCAGCAGTTCCAAGCAATCTACATATAAAACTACATTTTCGCCTAAATCTTTCTGGGAACACAAAATTTGAGTCAAAATTCCTACTGTTTTCAAAGTGTTTTTTAGATTTTAATGAGAAATAATTAAAAGTTGCCTCAAGGTAGGCGACCTGATCATGTCCTACTCTGCCAAAGACAGTTCTTAACACTTTTGTCGCCTGAAATGGACAATAAACCCCCTAAATGTGCTTCTAGAGCCAAATATTCCACTAGCTAAGATTTGGTTTCTTTCAAAAAATTGCGCTGTTTTTAAACTATAACTTAGGAGCAGGAAGCCGAAATTTTTCATCGATCTATAATCAGACTCGACATTTTTGGGTAAATCTAAGCTAGATATTTTTATTGCGCAATTGCGAGAACACGTTAATTTTTAGACCAGCAGTAACAAAATCGCATAAATTAGCATTTGCAGTGAATTGATTCTTTTTTTTTGTATTTTCAAATATCTACAAGGCTCAACTTTCAACAACAAAGTGTCACGATGTTACTCGCTCTTAATCAGAAGTTATTAATTTTGATTGAAGAGCTTACAGTTACGTGAAAACAAAAATTTTTAGACTAACATTTGGACAAGGCGCAAAATCAGCATGATTCAAATGAACTTCTAAGGGCTTCTTTTGCCCAAAGTGTCGGTTATTGGCTATGAAAATTTCAAGTCGCGAGATGCTCTTAGTTAGAAGCTACAATTTTTTGTTGGAATGTTTTCACTTGTTGAAAACATAAATTTTTAGCACAAAATTATTCAGGAAAAAATGTTGGGGATTTTGCCAAACAAGCGTCTTTTATATAAATTGAAAGCTTCTACTTGCTACTCACTCTAGGCTAAAAGGAAAAAAATTTTATTGAAAAGTTTGGAGTTGCGTGAAAACGTCTTTGGGATCAACATTTGCAAAGGGCCCAAACATCAGCATCTCATGCGATTGGAATAAAATTTCGAAGGTTTTTAGACTGAAGCGTTTTTTATAGACTGTGGAAGTTTCAAGTTGTTACTCGCTGCAAATTGGAAGTTACGAATTTTATTGAAGAGCTTGCCGTTGCTTAAAAAAGTTCAATTTTTGGATCAACATTTACGAGTGGCATAAAACTCCACGTCTGGCGCGATTTAAGTGAACTTGTGAGGATGTTTAGATAAACGGGTCTTATATAGACTGTGCAAGTTTCAAGTTGTTAGTCGCTTTAAATTAGAAGTGAACCTTTTTCATTGACGATCCTGTATTTGCGTGAAAACTTTCATTTTTAGGGCACCTTTTCTAAAAGGGGCATGAATCAGAATCTGGTACGATTTGAAGGAAATTTTCAGAGTTTTTAGGCTGGAGTGTCTTTTATAGACTGTAAAAGTTTCAAGTTGCTACTCGCTGCAAATTAGAAGTTACGATTTTTTCTTGAATCTTTTTTATTGGTGTTGTACTTGCGAGAATACGTTAATTTTAGGACCAGCAGTAGCAAAATCGCATAAATTAGCATTTGGAGCGAATGGATCAATTTTTTTTTGTACTTTCAGATACAAGGCTCAACTTTAAAATGTGAAAGTGTCACGATGCTACTCGCTCTTAATCACAAGTTATTAATTTTAATTGAAGAGCTTACAGTTACGTGAAAACTAAAATTTTTAGATTTTTAGACATTTGGACGAGGCGCAAAATCAGCATGATTCAAATGAACTTCTAAGGGCTTTTTGTCCAAAGTGTCGGTTATTGGCTATGACAATTTCAAGTCGCGAGATGCTCTTAGTTAGAAGCTACAATTTGTTGTTGGAATGTTTTCACTTGTTGAAAACATAAATTTTTAGCACAAAATTATTCAGAAAAAAATGTTGAGGATTTTGCCAAACAAGCGTCTTTTATATAAATTGAAAGCTTCTACTTGCTACTCACTCTAGGCTAAAAGTGAAACATTTTTATTGAAAAGTTTGGAGTTGCGTGAAAACGTTTTTGGGATCAACATTTGCAAAGGGCCCAAACATCAGCATCTCATGCGATTGGAATAAAATTTTGAGGGTTTTTAGACTGAAGCATTTTGTATAGACTGTGAAAGTTTCAAGTTGTTACTCGCTGCAAATTGGAAGTTACGAATTTTATTGAAGAGCTTGCCGTTGCTTAAAAAAGTTCAATTTTTGGATCAACATTTACGAGTGGCATAAAACTCCACGTCTGGCGCGATTTAAGCGAACTTGTGAGGATGTTTAGATAAACGTGTCTTATATAAACTGTGCAAGTTTCAAGTTGTTAGTCGCTTTAAATTGGAAGTGAACCTTTTTCATTGGCGACTCTGTATCTGCGTGAAAACTTTCATCTTTAAGGTACACTTGATCAAAAGCGCATGAATCAGCATCTGATTCGATTTGAATAAAATTTTGAGTGTCTTTAGGCTAAAGTCTCTTTTATAGACTGTCAAAGTTTAAGATTGCTACTCGCTGCAGTGTAGAAGTTAGGACTTTTTATTGAAGAGCCTGCCGTTGCTTGAACAAATTTAATTTTTGGATCAACATTTACGTATCGCGTAAAACTCCACATCTGGCGCGATTTGAGTGAACTTCTGAGGATGTCTAGATGCGAGTGTCTTATATCAAATGTGAATGTTTCATGTTGCTACTTCGCTTTCAATTAGAAGTTAAAAAATTTTATTAAAAATCATCTTTCGCGTAAAAACTTTCATTTTTAAATCACATTTTCTAAAAAGCGCATGAACCAGCATCTGACACGATTTGAATAGAATTTTGAGGCTTTTTCGACTGGAGTATCTTATATAGACTGTAAAAGTTTCAAGTTGCTACTCACTGCAGATTAGAAAGTACGAATTTTTCTTGAAGAGCGTGCAGTTGCTTGAAAACGTTAAATTTTTCGAACGCATATACGAAGGGTGAAAACATCCCGAGCTCACGCGATTTAAATGAACTTCTGAAGATTTGTAGATGCAACTGTCTCACATGAGACTGTTAAAGCTTCAAGTTGCTACTCGCTGTAAATTAGGAGTTAACATTTTTTATTAAATATCCTGTATTTGCACAGAAAATTTTCATTTTTAGGGCACATTTTCCAAAAGAGGCATGAATCAGCATCTAGTACGATTTGAAGGCAATTTTGAAAGTTTTTAGGCTGTAGTGTCTTTTATAGACTGTAAAAGTTTCAAGTTGCTACTCACTGCAAATTAGAAGTTACGAATTTTTCTTGAAGATCCTGCAGTTGCTTGAAAACGTTAAAATTTTTTGAACGCATATACGAAGGACGAAAACATCCCGATAGCACGCGACTTAAAATGCACTTCTGAAGATTTGTAGGTGCAAGTGTTTTGTCTAAACCGTGAAAGTTGTTACTCGTTCTAAATTAGAAATGAAATGATCGCTTTAAAACAAACTTTACTAAAGGCGCATAAATCAGCATCTGATGCAATAAAATGCAATTTTAATAAAATTTTGCCTGTTTTTCAAGTGAAGTGTCTCTCATAAACTGTGAAAGTTGATGTTGCTAACCATCCTGTATTTTGCTTTCGAGTGATCTGCACAAGAAGAAATCATTTTCAGAGAAATCTGTATGAAAAACAGGACTTAAGTGAAATTTCCTACTGTTTTCAATGTGAATTTAGAAATTACTGCAAAGTGAATGCTCTGGCCGTGTTTCACTTCGCCAGAGACAATTCTTGGCACCTTTGTGGTCTTAAATGAGACAAAAACCTCATAAACTTGCTTGAAGGAATCCACCAATATTTAAGACCTTTGCTATTTTGGAGTCCTCTCAAGATTAATTTCATACATAGCCACATGTTAAAAATTCCAACTGTTTTCAGTGTGAATTTCTTACTAGATCCACACGAAATCCCGACTTCATCTAAAAAATACCATTTTTAGAGCACAGATCACCAGAACAAATGCATCCCAACCTGCCCATTGGGCTGCTTGAACGGAGTCTGCACCCATCGAGGAACCTGCGACTGCAACTTCGGTCACACTCACAGCTCCAACGGAAAATACTGCGTTCCTGTTTGTACAGGGGGTTGTGGAACCGGTGGCCGCTGCACTGGCCCTGAAATCTGCACTTGCAGCCCCGGGTGAGTTTGCAATTTCCACTCTTATCACGCATATTTTGACCGGAAAATTCAAGGTTTGAAGTGAACAAGGACACCAACAAATGCGCGTACCACTGCGAGGGCGGCTGTGGCTATGGAACCTGCATTGGCCCGAATCAGTGTTCCTGCAAGCCTGGATATGTGCTGAAAGCGAGCAGCTGCGAGCCGGATTGTCCGCGAGGCTGCAGAAGCGGCGTTTGTTCAGCCCCCAATACTTGCACGTGTAAAGACGGATGGACTCTGGATAGAAGTGGAACCGTGTGCGAACCCCACTGTTCCCGAACCTGCCTGAATGGGGACTGCGTTGGCCCGGAAACTTGCGCCTGCAAAAAGGGCTACACTCCCAGTCCAGGGTCCGAAGGACGCAAATGCGTGGCCTTTTGTGAAGGTAATTTCTGGATCTGGTGTGGAACACCCCCCTAACTTGTTTGTGGTTAGATGGATGCGAGAACGGCGTCTGTTCAGCCCCGAACTTTTGCATCTGCAATCCGGGATTCATGAAGGAGTCGAAGGGCAGCAACAGGTGCATAAGGAGAGTGAGGCGCTCCGCCCTCACGGATTTGCATCTGGAGCTGATTCCAGAAGAGGTGCTTGAGGGGCATTAGACAACCTTTTTTCGTATCGTTTGTTCGGGCTTAAGAAATTACAAAATGCATACCGGCAGGTAAAAAATATACAATAAGTATAAAACTAGCGATATTTACACAGTAAACACACCCAGAGATCTAGAAGGAAACTTTGGCACCGAAATGTTTTTTTTCTTGAAGACACTCTAGTGTTTTTCAGTCCTCCTTACAGCTCGAAGCCCAGTAAAGCTCCAAACAGCACCAACAGGAAAACACTGGAAACTGCACGCGCCCTGCTGACTGGGGAACTCTCCATTGCAACCACCTCCTCTTTCGTGGAGGATTGAGGCAGTTTCTCCGGCAGCTGAGTAACTTGTATTTGCTGATCGGCCACCGATAGCACCATTGGAAGATCAGCTGCAAAGTAGCAATGAAATGGTTGTTTTTGGGGAATCGGAGGGTTTGAGTACTCACATATGCACCTTCGGCTTTTATAAGGACTATGTCCGGCTATACACGAGCAATTCTTGTGGATGCAGGCGATTTTGCTTTGGCAATCGGCGCCGCAGTAACATTGATGGTCGTGGTCACATGTATCGTGTAAATCTGCAATTATTGGGTAATGAGAACTGGAGGAGCTGTAGAAGGAGGAAAACGCACGGAAGCCCATCCAGAGCTGGCAATGAGTGTTTGCTTTTTATTCGAGTTGTTTATAGAGTGATTCAGGTTTAATCTTGATAACTAGAGGAGTCAATAGAACAGCTTAAAATAGGCCTGGGTAACTCAGTGAATTTTTAGGAGTTGGCGCAGTGCTACACAAATGGTTTGATGCGCCAACCCAACGCACCGACGCAGTAACTCAGTTCCGTTGCTGTGAAAATGTTGATGACTTTCTTTACTTGATTTTAGGTTTATTTTAAGGACTATTTATTACTAAACATTTTTTTAATTTCATCAAAATTTCAGAATTTTTCAGTTATAGGCAAGTTACTCTTTCTTCTAAATGCTCACTTTTCTAAAGCTTCACTTAAAACTGCTGACAATCTTAAGGTTTTTTCCCCTAAAAATTCTGAAATAAATTTCGAATTTGGAACAAAAATCAAATAATTTTCTATCAAAAAACAATCAGAATAAGCGAAAGTTTAGAACAGATTATTTGGAAATCTCGGCAGCTTCATACCTCTGAAGGTTGCAGAGTTTGTTAAAAAACATGGATTTTTAGTTTTGACTGATTTTTTTTCTTTACTTTACTTTACGGCACAAAAACCAAATAGTTTTATTCAGTTTTTTACCGAAAATAATTAGGATTATCTTGGAAAAACGACCAGAGAGCAAAAGTTTTCCAAAAACTATTTGGAAAGTTCACCGACATCGCTCTGAAAATTGTTAAAGTTCCTTTAAATTTTCATGTCATTCCAGTCTTAACAAAGTTTCTATTAAGCAATTCTTTCTACGCAAAACTCGCAAACGTTTTACTGTAAAATACTGACAAACTGAATCTTTTTTGCAAAAAAATTAAGAGATCGATTTTACCAGAAAACTCATCGACTTTCTTTGGACTCAGTTCGGTTGCTGGAAAAAAATAGATGACCTTTTTTAGTTGTTTGAACAAAGTAGTAAAACGATACTCAGAAAAAATGTTGATCTAGATGTTTTAGATGTGAAAATTCGAGTATCGGGTCTAGTAAAGCTTGAATAAATGATTTATAACTCATTATCCGATAAATTATAACTCGTTAACTCAGAGAGCGGCAACAACTCAATAGCGCAACTCAACACAGTGTTATCCAGGCCTAGCTTAGAATAATGTCCCCCGACCAAAATAGTCCACAGGATTCAGATCGGGCCAGCGCGGGGGCCAAGTCGCTGGTCCTTCGTCACCAACCCTTTTAAAATAGACTTTTGGCAATATTCTGCAATGCGACTTTCTACACTCAATGCGACTTTCTCTAACTTACGCCATCCAGATCAAACCTGAATCTCCCTGTGTATTCTTCACTCACCCCTATTCTTCACGCATTGCCCTAAATGCAGATGATGGAATGCCTTGCAAGCGCATTGGTTCTTCTTTGTGCAGATGCTTCTAATGCCCATTTTCTTGTGGCATTCGTGCTTCTTGGTGCACGCCACTCGTGGTTGGGCCACTGAAGAAGCGAATGTTATTCGAAATTAAAAACTCGTAAAATAACTGTTTAAAGACAGTACAATATGAAATTTTCCCGAAAACGGCCGTTAAACTGCCATAAAACAGCGAGGTTTAAATGAGGCACAATTTATGGCCTAGTTGGCTAAGCATGATGTTTTCTTGTTGCGAGAAAGCGGTTGAAATTCGATAAACTGTCCCCAGTTGAATTGGAGTTGAAATAGAGCAGAAGCGCTTGTTTGTAATTTATGTCTTCACGCTTTCAGGCAGCTAAAACAACACGAATTTCGGTTTAAGGGGTGTGAAAATCAGTCAATTTCTCTTGCCAGAAGGTGCGTGCATGTTTGTTTACACGATTTTTTAAACTTAGAATTCGAAGAACGAAACTGTAAAAAGCAACATTTTAACTCATAAATTATGAAAATGACCCACAAGAACCTAGTCCAGTTGGAACACCCACGTCGTCTCTGATAATTATAAAGCAATTGAGATAATTATTGTTTCCACACGCTATTCGAATCAATCTAGCAACTGTCTGGCTCTTCTAAGTGTCAATCGGTGCTCAATAATCATTGAGCTTCGGTCAGTTTCATCTACATTCGATTTTTTATGGTATTTAAAACCCAGTGTGTTGCATTTTTTTAATTAACAATTTGCATACTGCAAAATTAAATAAAAAAACGGCAATAAAATGCATAAACAGAATTTTCCATCGAGTTCAGATTTAGAATGAAATTTCACTAATTATATCTCACGAATCCAGATTTAGCTTTCAGTGTTGTCGACAGTAGAATTCTCTTATTAGTCGTGTTGGAAATTTGTCAGCCAATCTGTTTCGTCTTCCGCATAATCCGAAAATAAATGGCAAGTCGAGGAAACATTTTTCTTGCTGACTTAAGAAACACTATTTTTATAATGAATTAGTGTTTTTATACTCTACAGCCTCGAAGGCTTCCGCATACATGACATTAAGTTGTTTTTTTTACCCAATTTCTGGCCACTGATTCCAAGAAATAGTGAATAAAGCCACTACTAAAGGATACAGTTAATGTGGGCTTAGTAAAACAATGCTTTGGGTTTTGCATTGCATAGAGGTAGTTTTAAAGGACCAGAAAGTTTCCATATTCAAACTTATTTGAAAAGAGTTTTACGAAATTTTGGAAACAGTTCGGCAGATTCTTCAGTTTTTCGCAGTTTTTCGCAGCACGAAAACGTCTCAGAAGAACCCGCGGTGTAGTTTTTAACAGTCCTTTCAGATTATATCTATTGAAATGGCCCAGTTATGAGGCTAAGAATTTTACCAAATTGTTGTTACCAAGAGAGGACATTTTTTTGCCTAACTAAAAGATTGTCTTAAGGAGTTTCCAACTGTACTTTAGTACTGTACTTAGGAGGCAAAAACTCTACCAAAATGCTGCCGAATGTCTCAAGAGAAAGCATTTTTCTTTTGTCTAAAACTTCAAGAACGACGGCCACATGGACAAACTTTAAATAGCCGAGTGGAAAACTGTGCAAAGAGGTTTTGAACAGTTTTTTGAGTTTATATTTTTCTTCGAAATTGACCAATTTAAGAGGTACATAAGTTTACCAAAATGCTGCCAAATTCCTCAAGAGGGGACAATGTTCTTTTGCCTGTAACCACAGAAAACCATCTTTTGGTGTTTCCATTTATGTTAGGAAATAACTAAGTTACCAGGCACATAAGTTTATCTAAGCGCTGCTCAGTGCCTCAAAAAAGAATATTTCTTGCTTTGCCCGTTACTTCAATAGCGTCAGACAAGTTGAAAAATGGTAGAGGTCTTTTTTAAGGAGTTTTCTTCTGTAATTGAAGTTTTTTTGATTTGGAATTGGTCAAGTTAGAGGGAAGAAAAGTGTGTGTCTCAAAAGAGAACAGTTTTCTTTTACTCGTAAGTTCAACAGCGAGAGCACGATTAAAAACATTTAAGGAAAAAGTTAAAGATTGTTTTAAGTAGTTTCCAACTTCTTTTAGAGTTTATATTTATTTTTGGAATTATTCACGTTCGTTAGGAAACAGAGAAGTTTTTCAGAGTGCTGTTGGGCTCAGAGTAACTAAGGAGATATTTTTTTTATTTTGTTTTGCCCGTTACTTCAATAGCGCCAGACAAGTTGAAAAATGGTCGATATTTAAAATAGACACTTTTTTAAGGAGTTTCATTCTGTAATTTAAGTTTCATTTTTTATTTGGAATTGGTCAAGTTAGAAGGAAGAGAAGTGCGTGTCTCAAAAGAGAACAGTTTTCTTTTGCTTGTAACTTCAACAGTGAGATCACGATTAAACATATTTAAGGGAAATGTTAAAGAGTGTTTTAAGTAGTTTCCAACTTCTTTTAGAGTTGCGATTTATTTTTGAGGACCATTTTCTTTTACGTGGTGTCATTTTACGTCTCGTCACTTCAAGAGGAAAAGCCAGATTTAAAAACGGCCAAGAGCAAATTTAAGGATTTTTCATCCGTCTTTTGAGTTACGGTTTATCTTTGGAAATCTTAGGAGCCACATAAGTTGATGAAAGTGCTCAAGAGTGGACAGTTTTCTTTTGCTCGTAACTTCAACAGCGATGATCACATTGGAAAACTAATAAGAGCAAAATGAACGACTGCTCAAAGGACTTTTTAACTAAACTTTGCGTATCAAATAATTTGTGGAAATTGCGACGTTACGAGGCCTAGAAAATTTTCAAAGTTTCAATAGAATACAGTTATTATTAAGCTTGCGCCATAATAATATTAATAATAAATGAAAACCAAAGTTATACTCACAAGATATGCACGAATCAAACCAAACAGCAAACTGTTCCTGACATGCACAAACACCGTTTTTGCAAACCGTATCCATAGTGCCGCAATCGTCGTCCGTTTCGCAAGGCCCATGAAGGGCTGAGCCTTAAATTGAAAAAATCACATCAAATAAAACCTGATGAAAACAGCCTTTATCCACCTACCTGCAGATCCAATGATGCAAATGCTCAATACGGTAAACGCCACTGGGATGATCATCTTTCAGCCCGGTCTTATCGCAGCAGATTCAGGATTTTTCAAAAAACAATTCTCTGCTTTATCGTCGGATTTTTGTGGTAAACAATGCCGGGCATGGTCTACAATAATATCGATTAATAGTTCAATCACTTATTTATAGGAAGTAAATGACTAATCGTTGTTAGTTGGCGCCTTGAAATAATCGCGCTTGATTCATTTTTATTTGGCAATGTAAACTAGAACAGTTACTATCACCAGTTGAGTTCCAAAACTGCCCATTGGGGTGAAAAATCCTTGTAGGATGTTGGAAATATTAGGAGATTAAAAAGTTCAACTAGAGCCTACTTTTTCAGTGAAGTGGCAGCCTCTTAATAAACAAATGCATAAAGTATCGCAATATTGCTCAAAAGTAAGCCAACAAACGATTGTCCTTATCAAATAGACTTCAATTAGCCTCAATCAACACTTTTTGCGTGTTCGACTCTAATTGCTCATTATTCATCAGTCCTTTGAGAAAAGCGAGTGTTTTTCCTGTCCAACTTTGATGCATATAAGAATCCCATTACGATTTTTGGTAAATAGATAAACAAACGTAATAGAGCGTTCGGTTTTTATTTATGTTAGAGCGCAATTTGGTTTAAATACGTTCCGGCGCCTGAACAGTAAAAACATTTTACAGAAGACGATTAAATATGCGTGAGAATGATCATAATCATGTGTTGAATGTTTTAATGGCCAGCTGAAAAAACAGTGGATCAACTACTGTTTCCTAACGCACATTTCTGGGTTACTTATTCAATTTATTTCGTACACATGGGGTCAAGGATTCGATTCTCCTTAGTAGCTTTTTGAGGGCAATTTTTGGATCTTATCCAATTGTAATGAGAGCGGAAGAAAATCAAAATTTATGGGTACTTAAGTGCTTTTCAGACTCTGAGGAAATGGATCATTGGTTGCGTTTTTCAAGTGCATATTTTTACGTTAAGTTAACGGATTAAATGAAGCAAATCATCACTTTTAGGATGAAATATTTTATTGTTTATAATTATTTTAACACAATAAATAATATATTTTTTAATTTAACAGAATATTCTTCATTTTATTCCGCCCAATACTTACACTTTGATGCTGAGAGCACGCTTGCCAAAAAAAAACTTCTACTATCTGTATGTCATCAAAACCTCAAAATTTTCCCGGAATCGATGAAAATATTTAAATATTTGCCAAAGTATTATGAACGATGAAATTTTTAATGTTTTTATATGGAAAAATTTGAGAAACTGAAGGAAAATGGAAGAAATTGAAAAAAAATTGAGAAAGAATATTAAACTTTATAAAAGTTCTGTGTAGGTAACGACGATTTTCTAAAAGCCAAAGAAGTTTACTTTAACTCTTTTTTTTTAGTTATTTCTGAGTGCGCCATGTGGCTCAAAATAACGTTTTCTTTTGCTCTAGATTTAATATCTTTGATCAGACTGTCCAAAAGAGTTTTAAACAGTTTTTCGAGTTCCTGTTTATCTTTGAAAATGGCCAAGTTAGGAGGCAAAGAAGTTTACCAAAGTGTCGACGTGTGTCTCTAGGAGTTTCCCTTTGCTCGTAACTTTAACACCAAAAAGCAAATTGAAAAACTTTTCAGACAGAAGTGAAACAGTTTTCAACGACATTTTGGCTCATATTTATATTGGAAAATAGTCTAGTTAGGACGCAATGAAGTTTACCAGAATGCTTTCGAATTTCTTTTAGTTTTATTTTGCCGATAGCTTTAACAGAAAAGATCAGATTATAAAACTTTTCAGAGTAAAGTGAAAGAACTCTCCAAATGAGGTTTCAGCAGTATTTTTTATTCATATTTATCTTAGAAAATGGTCCAGTTAGGAGGCAATGAAGTTTACCAGAGTGCTTCCGAGTGTCTTAAAAGAGGATAGTTTTACTTTGCCCGTAGTTTTAACAGAAAAGATCAGATTGAAAAACTTTTCAGAGCAAAGTGAAAGGACTCTCCAAAGGAGTTTTCAGCAGTATTTTTGCTTCATATTTATCTTAGAAAATGGTCCAGTTACGAGGCAATGAAGTTTACCAGAGTGCTTCCGAGTGTCTTAAAAGAGGATAGTTTTATTTTGCCCGTAGCTTTAACAGAAAAGATCAGATTGAAAAACTTGAAAAATAGCAAAATAAAATACGGTTCAAAGGAGTTTGCACAACTTTCGGAGTTCGTATTTATTTTTGGAAATGGCCAAGTTAGGAGGCACAGAAATTTACCAAAATATCGACGGATGTTTTAACAGAGCAGTTTTATTTTGCCTGTAGTTGAAACAGCAACAATCAGATTGAAAAAGTTTTCAATGCAAAGTGGAAGACTGCCCAAAGAAGTTTTAACAGTGTTTTTTGGATCTTATTTATCTTAGTAAATGTCCAGTTAGGAGGAAATTAAATTTAGCAGAGTGCTTCCGAGTGTCTTAAGAGAGGACAGTTTTGTTTTGCCCATAAGTTTACTATAGAAATGGTAAGAGTGAAAAACTTTTATGAGCAAAATGAAAGACTGTCGAAGTAAGTTCTCAAGAATTTTTTTAGTTCTTTTTTATCTTTGAAAATGGCCAAGTTAGGACGCAAAGAACTTTAGAACAGTGTCAACGGATGTCTTAAGTGAGTACAGTTTTGGTTGCCTGCAGTTTAAACAGCAACAATCATATTGAAAAGGTTTTCACTTCAAAGTGAAAGACTCTTCAAAACAGTTTTGTGGTTTTTGTTTATCTTGAAAAAATATCAAGTTAGAGGGCAAAAAAGTTTACCAAAGTGCTTCCGAGTGCCTTAAGATAGGACAATTTTGTTTAGCCCGTAGCTTTAACAGGAACACTCAGATTAAGAAACTGCCAAGGGCAAAGAGAAAGACTTTTCAAAGAACCCTTGAACAGTTTTTGAAGATTTTCTTTATCTTTCAAAATGGTCAAGTTAGGCGACAAATGAGTCGAGTGTCGCAAGTATCAGGAGAGAACAGTCTCCTTTTACCTGTAACTTCAACCACAATAGAATAATTTATTAAAATAATAGTTTATTAAAATAGTTCTCGCCAACTTTTTTTCAATATGTTTGTTGAATATTACAATCTTCATTTCTTCTTCGTCCAGGTCAACAACTGTTCGCATAATTTTTTAAACAATTTCTGCAAGTGTTTGATTTTTTGCCGTTGTTCCTTTTGGTGGTAATTCCTTCCACATCTAATTATCCACATAAGCTCTATTTCTGTTTTAAAGTTCCCTTTGAAGCCTAGTGATGATCATTTTGAGCCACTAATTGAGTCAATTAATGGGAAAAATTTCCGCATTTGAAACCCGGCAAATGTGGCGATTTGTTACAATTAAGAGCCGGCACTAATAATGCTTTTACGTGAAAAAATGGGCTCGGTTTACGAAGGTCTTTGACTTTTGAACGCGAAAATAGAGAGAAACACAAATAAACATTGACGCGATAACCTCTGGCCGATGTTATGTAAGCTTAAAAAAATATTTATTGCCAAATTCGCGTCCACATCAATCAGCGGATGATAAAAATTAACTTTTTTTTATGATGTGCTGAGAAAGTTTTGCAGAAAATAAACTAGTACAAAAACGACACCAAACATAAGTATATAAATAATCAGAATATGAGGCAAACAACATGCGTGTGACTGTGTGATTTACCATGTCCTGTTCCTGTAATTGAATTTAAGGCTCTTACGTCTTCGGGAATGACGAATGGCACTAGACGAAATTGTTTATAATTTAAATAAATTATTCGGAGCAAGGAAAAACTACATGCCCGCTACAGATGTTAATAGTAATGTAGATTACCGTTTTTATCTTATTCATAGGCCTCACAGGAGCAAAACTGTACACCTACTGTTACAATAATTATTAATGGCTTTATTTAAATTCGATATTAATTTATCTGGGCCTGTCTGGAAAAATGTTCCTGTACACACATTAATGAATTATTTATGAAACCGGCAGCCGTAGCTTGGAAATTGAAAGGGGCCAAAATAAGCTTGTAAATTTATTTAAAATTTTAAAACAGTCAGGGGCCAACCAGTTGCAAATTCACCACTCCCACGCTAGTCACGCTTCATTCATCGCCTCAAAACAGTTTTTTCGGAATCAATTTTGTCTGTTCTTTTATTTGACTCATTCAATTTTGATCGTTTCTTCGTAATGTTCTGCCTTTTGAGCCCAGCGTTTTCACAATTTTTGCGCGTTTCAATTTCCGCGTCTTTATTACCATTTATGCTGCAAATGCTTGTGGTTTTTCACTTTCGACAAAATCACCATTCTGTAATCGATTATACTCGCAACGTGCTAATTCCGCTGTAGAAAATGAAGGCAATATTTACAGCAAATACAGCTTATTAAGCTGCAATTTTCTTAGCACTAAAGTTGCTGAAACTGTTGAATTTTTCGAGCGTTAAGGGCGTCTTTAAAAAAGTGTTTTCCCAACGTTTTGCAAGCACGAGTGGCTTGCATCTTCAGAGGAGGTGAACTCTGTAGTTGTTGAAGCGAACTGTTCTCTACAATTTACATTTTTAATTATTTCGCAGTTTTTATTGATTTTTATCAAAGTTAGGCACAATTTTTGGATTGTCACATAGTGTGTGACCTGGTAACACTGTGTTACCCTCAGTGTGCCTCACGGCGATAATTCTTGAAATCAGAACTTTTAAGGGATATTTTTAATTAGTTGAAATTTTGTTGGTTTCCGTCATCGTACGGAAATTGAGCAAAAGTTTCAGTTTTAAGTGATTTATTAGCGTTTTTTTGCCTAGTCAATGTTTTTAGCAACACCAAAATAATTTGGTTAATAATTTTAGTTTGCATTGCGTTGTGCATTAATAACTGCAGCTGAATAAAATGCAGACAAAATAAATTGCTCTAGATTTAAAATTAAATTAGTGAAAGATCGGCGCTGGGAGCGATTTTTGTTTAGTTGTTGTTGACTTTCGTTAAGTTGGAACGTGAAATTTGCCGTTGGAAATATTGTAATGCAAACATGCACTTTCTACAAAAATGTCATCAATAAACAAACTGAAATCGAACTGGTAAATAACGCATGAATCATCGGAAGGGCGGACAATTAAATTATTAAATAATCAGGTTTATTCTTCAGTTCAGTGTATTTTTTTTTCTCGAAAAACTGTATGAATGTTTAGTTTGGTACCGACAGTGGACGAAATGAGTCGATAATCGCATTCTTAAATGGGAAATATAGAGTCATTCTGGTCCTTATGGGAAATGCGGTAGTTTCTGCACTTGAGATTAGTGGGTAGAAAATGGAGGATGGAGCGCCAGCTCACAGAAAACTGGTAAAAATGATCTCTAATCTATAAGTCTTTTAGCTTGAACTGAGCTTAGTTTTGCTACAAGCAACTGAATTTTTATGGAATCTTTATATTTTTCTCTCTCTGCCTTACTGATTTCAAATAAGTTCAGCTTTGGATAGATTTGTGGTGGCAATACGCAGCTTTCGGAAAGCTTAGCATTATTTTGCCCCTGGTTGCCATTTACATGTAGAACTTGAAGTCCCATTTCATCAACTGACTCGTAGTGTGGGTTTAAAATCCATTGAGCTATTAGTTCTTTGGTAGTTGATTTCTAAACTTTGCTTGCCCGATTAGAAAAGTGCGCCACTGGGAGCTGATGCTTTGGCATATAAATGAGGAATTTCTTTAATTGATTTTTAGCTCATTTTGTAAGAAATTTCAACCAAAGGACCGGAAAATGGACATCTCAATAGCGAAACAATTGGTTTCTAGAATAAAAAAATCAACATCTGAACAAAAGTTCAGAAATTTTCTTTTATTCTTTAACTCTTGTGGATACGAACAATATTTATATCTTCATTATTTATCACTATATTATTTCGTCCCAAAATTCCTGGAAAAATCACAAAATATTATTTGAGTTAAAGCATTTTTGAACTGAGAGGTTCGCTTGAATTAAAATTGTGTCAATAAATCGCAATGTTCTTAGGTACCAAATCGGCAATTTTCCATGTAGAGGTATCTAGTTGAGTGACTTCAGTTAAGTCAAAAAGCATTTATACGTTACTTATAAAATTAAATTGCAATTTCAATCTAAGGGTCTCTAAAGCTGCAAATAATTCATGATTTAATTATGAAAAATCGTTGGAAAGTATCACTGTTGCCCTCAAAGTGCAAATATTGTTAAATGAAAGGACTATTCGGTCGGTCTGAAGCCGCTTTATTCCGCTTAAAATTTGAGAATTTCATTTATAAAGCGGCAAATTTAGCCCAACATGACTGAAAAAATGTGATTTGAGTAAAGGCATTAAACCATCGCAAGCAGAATTTCGCTTGTGATAAAATCATGTTGGCCAATTAATTTGCCAATAATCTATCTAGTGAAAAGAACGCTTATTGCATTGCTGGACAGAGCAAATTATTTTCTAAAAGTGTGTGAAATTTTAATGAAATCTCGCTTTCTGACGATTTTTTGAAAAATTAATGACCTCCAATTGCATGGGTTTCTTGCTAACAAGATTTCCCGAATTCGTTTTGAATAATTAATATCTCAAAAACCTCTCTAGGCACAAAAATGATTGTTGCGCCACTGAAAAAAGGGCACTTTCTTTTAGAGATGCAAAAAATGTGAAATCGCTCGAATTTTTTCCTGATTTTTGGAGAAACTTTACGCAAACGGCTGCGACTGTCGTTTAATAATGGCGCCCTTGAAACGTTCTTTAAACAATTTATTATTCGAAAACTGTCTCGACCAGAAAGATGCCTGCTACACGACTGAAAAGATGACATTTTGGGCTATAAAATCTGAACATTCCAGGTAGATTTGCATTTTTGCTGATTTTTTGCGAATTTCTAAATCAAAGACTATGGCAAACCGCTTTCAAGAATAATAGCAATATAAACCATATACAGTTGCTGCACCGAGAAAACCACATCTGAAGATGTAAGCCGCTCGTGCTGGCGCAACGTCACAAATAACCGTCTCCTCGGTGTCTTCAAAGTACAAAAAACTCGCCAGTTTCAAGCATTGCCCGTGAAACCCTAATTTTTCCCCGAAAGTTCCAGTTAATTGAAGCATTAAAGAGTGCGAAAACAGAATGCTAATTTCGCACGCGTTGTATACGGTCCGAACTTGAACTTGGCAAATCGATTCATGACCCCTTTAATTTGGCAAAGACACACATTCAAAAATACTGGAAAAACGCGATGACTTCCAGACTATATAAGAGAACATACATAACTGGGTTTTGTAATTTTTGCGGCTATTTAGGCAAATTTTCCATTAGAATCGTGCATTAGAATACAGTATGAATTGCCTAATTTAGGCTATTAGAATAAAGTTTAATTTTCACATTTTGGACTGTCCATATTAAACTAAAACTAAAAATCAGCTCTAATTCAAGTTTCTGTACTACTTTTTGCCCAAAACGGAAATATATTTTCCACTCGAAAATAATGCAATTCAAAGTTTTCATTTTTGTCATTTTCAGGCTATTTCGAGGATTGAACACATCGACAATTTAATAAAAAAATATAACACGAGCAACTTTGCTGCAAGCGCTTTTTATAAGGCTCTTGAATGAAAGCATCACATAAGAACAATAAAGACGCGAATAAATTTGTATAAATAAAATACAAAAATATAACTTCACTAGAAATTTTCAGCTTCCGCAAAGGCTTATGATGAATTGGTTTTCTTTATATACAAAATAATAAAACAGTAAATGTATGAAAATAAAATACTACCAATATTGTAAATATTTTGAAGATATATTTAAAATCAATTGACAGTTTAACAACTAATGTTAGCTAAAAAAGTATTTTAATTTTCAACTTAAATAATTTTTAAATTAGCATTTGCGATATTACATTTTCTTAATATAAAGGGCGGTTCAGAGCTGGATATTTGGGCTGTAGCAGGGTTGTGCAAAAAAATAACACGAAACGTTAAAAGTTAAATAAACACTCGCTTTTTATTTGATTTAGTTAAATTTCATGAATGACTCCCAAATTAGCGACTAAAGTAGTGGTAATATAGAGGATGTTCCAATAGAAATTGCACATTTTCTCGAGAATAAATCTGACGAATCCGGATAAATTTATTTATTAAGTATTTAAAATAATTTGCTAAACTTGCACAAATTAGAAAAAAACAGAGTGATTGAATTTAGACTCAGTGAAGAATTAAAACTCGATTTTAATCGAAAATAAAAAAAAATTGAAATTTGTTATAATCCCTAAAGTTTTATGAATGCCAACATTTTTTCTTAATATAATTTTGATAAAAAAACATTTTAAAATGGAATTTAACTGGAAAACTCACCGGCAAACAGTTCCAAACTATATAAAAAAAACTATGGGGCACGCTGATTGGTCGGAACGCTGGAACCACTTGACTAATGAAAATGAGCGCGATCTTCTCCAGAGCGAGCGCAAAATGCGACTGTACAGACTTATGTCATTCGCTTCACTAAGCAGACCGCGTCTAATTTTTATTCATCATTTCTAGTATTGGGGAGTCTGCAAGTCCGATTCCGACATCAGATTTTGAGAAATTTCTTCGGATTGCTTCGGAAGCAAGCGCTCAAATAATTATAAATCAAATCAATCAAAGTTCACCAGCTAAAAGCAAAGAAAGTTTATTTTAATTACGGTTTTTTTACAGTATATTTTTAGTTTTCACCTTCGTATTTCAGCTCGTTTAAGGCAGCGGGTTTCATTATCAATTAATGAAAAGCTTGATTAATTTTACTCTTTTACTCACTCATATGTTGATTCGCTTTTATAGAGTTTTAAAAGCGTTGGTTAAAAACTGATTAGCAAATTGCTCTCACACTAGTAAAACTAGGAAAACTCAAAGTTGAAGTCTGTGGATGTTTACTGGCCAAATTCCCAAATTTTTACATTTTGTTTTGTGGTCTACAACTTATTGAATACCGACCGCGCCTGCAGACAGACTTTTTTCTTTTACATTGCATTTGTTAGCTTTATGACCGGAATACCAAAAAGAATCGTCGAATTCAAGTTTTGATTTGCTCGACTGATCAAAACCAGGCATGTTTAAAACATTTGTTGTCTCCTGCCCGCTGCCGAATGAATGAAATATTCAAAATCGAATTTGAGATTTTTATTGGAAGATTCTTGTTTTTTGCCTCTCAGCGGCAATTTTTCCGTTTTACTGCCACTTCCGTTCCAAGCCAATTTTTCACTTCCTGTTTGCTTCTACTGGCTGAAAGCTGCTTAATATTTCGGACATATTTTCATCTAATGTTCAAATGCAAATTTCCGCGCTTAAACCAGTGGGATTAATCAATTGTACTCATGGGAAATGCCTTTTGCATTTTAAAATCCCACATCCGCCATTATTTCTATTCCTCACTTTAAGTGCTCGGACAGGAGAAATAAAATATATCCTTTGCCGATTGTTTATGGCATGAATACTAATTTTCAACGGCTGGCACAAGAGATGATGATTCACTTATCTCTGTAGGATGTTCAGAAACACCAAGAACCTATCCTTAAGGTTTTATTTTAGTTTTCAGGCAGTTTAATTAACAAGTCGTCGAGCAAAATATTTTTCCTGACGTTTGGCAAACTCCTCAGAAATTTCCCACTCGAAAGCTTACAATGAGCAGTGAGAAAAACACGGTTTTTCGAAGATGACCCGAAAACAGTGTTTTTTCAGTGTCCAGCGGAAGATTTTGCGCGAAACAACGTTGAGGAAACAAATTGAGTATTTGACAATATTTTTGTGGCGCTCAGAGCATAACTTTTTAACAAATGTTGGTCAGCTCAGGTTTTTTTCTCAGTTCCCCTTATTTTAAAAGAAATTAAAAAATTAAAAAATTTACAGATTTTAAATAATTTAGAGTTGAGTTAACAATTTTTTATGGCGCTCAGAGGGTGACTTTTTTACGAATGTTGGTCAGCTCAGGCTGCTTTTTAGGGTTTGCGCTTTATTTAAAAATAAAAACCTCTAAACTGCTGTCTAATTAATGGAAGCATGAAATCTTGCAAACTTTCAGTATTTCCCTACATATTCTTGGCAAAAATAGCCAAAGGAACATTCTATAGAAAACAATGCTGAAAATATTGCCTCTTTTTTAATTCACTAGAGATTCGAAATTTCCGGCAAGACCTAGTAGAGCAAAGGACAATTTGAGGAAAATGGAAACGTCGCAAAAGGAGCCACTTTTTAATGCAAGTAAAAAGATTTGCAATTTTTCCGTTGTTCCAAATTTAATTTTCCAAAATTTTGCTTCTATCTCTTTATAGGCTGGACATTTTGCATCCATCTGTATAGAAGAAAAACGGCCATTGAAACTCTCTATCGAAAAGTTCTTAATTATTTTTAATGATATTTAGCTAGTCTTAACTGTTTAAGAGCTAGTCTTAACTGTTTAAATCCTTAAAGCTCGAGTGCGACTTAAAAACGAAAATTGTTGTATTTTTTTTAGTCAGGATATTCTGAACAAGCGCCTTAGAAAAATAAAGTTTTTGGCACACTTAATGAAATAGTTTCTTATGATTATTTTAATATTATCAACCACTGCCGAGATGTCCAAGCTTAACCTTCTTCTTCATAAGAAAATATCAAAATGTTGCTTCCATCTTTTTAGAGGTTAACAACTTCCGAAAGGAACAAGTCTGAGGGACGTTTTCTTAAAGCAAATATTGATCAAAGCATTGTCAACGGATAAGCCGCTTGAAAGCTTTCTTGCATTTTCCCTTCTACCTCTTTACAGGTTAGGAATATCCGATGAAACCTAACATGAAAAGTTTCTAATGATTATGTAGCGAGTCTTAACTGTTTGAGAGATAAAGTTCCTTAAAGCTCGAATGCAACTTAAAAACCAAAATTGTTCTACTTTTTTAAAGGTTAGGACATTCTGAACAAGCGCCTTTGAAAAAAAAAAGCTTTTGGCACGTTTAATGAAAACGCTATTCGTGATTATTTAAATAGATATTATCAACCGTTATCGGGATATCCAAGCTTAACATTCTTCTTCACAAGAAAATATCAAAATGTTGCTTTCATCTTTTTAGAGGTTAACAACTTCCGAAAGGAAAAAGTCTGAGAGGCGTTTCCTTAAAGTAGATATTAATTAAAGCATTGTCAACAGGTAAGCCGCTTAAAAAGTTTCTTTCATTTACGCTTCTACCTCTTTACAGATTAGGAATATCCGATAAAACCTAACACAAAAAGTTTTAAATGATTATTTAGCTAGTCTTAACTGTTTGAGCTATATGAGTCCTTAAAGCTCGAGTGCGACTTAAAAACCAAAATTGTTCTACTTTTTTTAAGGTTAGGACATTCTGAACAAGCGCCTTAGAAAAATAAAACTTTTGGCACGCTTAATGAAAAAGCTTCTCGTGATTATTTTAATAGATATTATCAACCGTTGCCGAGATGTCCAAGCTTTACCTTCTTCTTCACAAGAAAATATCAAAATGTTGCTTCCATCTTTTTAGAGGTTAACAACTTTCGAAAGGAAAAAGTCTGAGAGGCGTTTACTTGAAGCAAATATTGATGAAAGCGTTGCCAACAGATAAGCCGCTTTAAAGGTTTCTTACATTTTCGTTTCTACCTTTTTACAAGTTATGAAGATCCGATCAACCTAACAAGGGCAATGGAGTTCAAGAAAAGGGCTGTAAAATATTCTAATGGCTATTTGCATATTCCATTCGTTTCTGAGATATAGACTGTTTTCATCTGGGCAGCTTCTCAATTTTTTACATTTCTGCTTCCATTCTTTTAGAGGTTAGGGCATAACCCAAATTAACCTATAGTTCAGAAGATGATTTTTCCAAGTTTTGGGACAAAGTCTTCACAAAAATCTTCATGATTTCCCACAGGATTTGATGTTTTATTACCTCCATTAAAATTTGCATATGCTCCATTCTGGCAGATAGGCATAGGCGAAAAACGGCGACTTTATCTCCCGAATGTTTCCATACATTCAGGGCTGGGATAATTACAATCAAGCTAAAAGCCCTATTTAAGCATGCAAGAATCCACTTCTACTGCGTTAATTTGAATAAATTAACCGCGAAGAGGATTATGTTGCTTTAGTTCGGCGTCTATTTACAATGCGGTATCAACAGACATTTATATAAATTGCAGGGTGGCGCGATGTAACTTCTATAAGTATGCTGTTGAGTTGCATCCAGCGAACTGCATTTTTCTTGAGATTGTGGGTCAGAATACTTTAACTGTGACCAAAACGCTCCTTTGCAATTTTGTTGGGTGTTTAAAAATATTATCTTTTCCTACTGGATATATTGAGCTTATGAAGTTTGCTGATCTCTTTCAAGTTCCCAACTTCGTTTCTTTCTGAATTCACGCTCTCATTAGGGCTTTTTGCTCTAGTTGATGGAACTTCGGACTCTTTCAGACCACAAAATGTGTTTTCTTCAGTTGGTTTAATGAGTTTTGGTGCCATTGTCTATTTTTACCCACACACTTAGTCAGCACCAAATGACGCTATTAGAACCCGAAAAACACATCGATTAGAACCAAAATTGCGGCTCCCAATAGCGAATAAGGCCCGGAATCGGGTACTTGACCTATACACCTATAAATTATGTCATTCAATTTACATCCGGAGCGCTTTTATAGATGCCGGCGATATGCAAATCGGGGGCTTTGCCCCCCTGTTGGGCCTTTTAGGGGACGACAGGGACGACTTTTCGCGAGCTTTATTCAATTGAACCGTTTAGATCAATTGCAAATCGCAGATGTACGACGAAAATAAATCACCTGAACCCTGCGACTTGCTTAATTGAGATGCATGTGTCGTGACAGGGGGACAATGAAGCATAAAAATGAATAGATATTAGTTTTAGTGATTGTTTTTGGGGATATTTTGCCTGATAATAATGATGAATTGTAATGAGGGAAGGGAGTGGCTTTAAACGGCACCAGCAGGAATTTGCTTTTTTGAATTTTTTGAATATTTAAGCGACAGTATTAGCAAGTAGCTTTATTATTTATACCCAATTAAAAGCTTGGTAGAAGAAGCCGCTGTTTGGACTCTCGCATTCCTGGCCTGGTTGCATTTCAATTTGCCTTAGAAAGTATGTTTTAACATATAAAAGCCATTGTTCGGTTGGCAAGAGTTCGAGGAATTTGACCAAAAAAACGCTGGAAAAACTGAAGAACTACTGAAAATCCTCGATATTTCCAAATCTGTAAACACTAGCAGCATGTAAAAGGAGTACAGTCATATCGATTTCCCACAACTGTTTCCACCTGTTTTTTTCGGTCTAAATTTAGGATTTATTTTGCGATTTGCACTTGTTGGCTGGTTTCGAAACATTCACGCCTTTACGACCAGACGAATGAAGAACACCAGGCATTACAAGGAAGAACGTGCATTCACGATTATTTTCTTCAAATCCTATAAATAATTTATATGTGCTTTGTTATGGCTTCGATCTGATAAGCCTTGTAAAGAGTCATGCTTGATTTC